ATATATATATATATATATATATATATATATATATATAGTTTTGCACATGCGTTTGTAATGTATTTTTTAATTTCTTTTTGGCTTTTTAAGTCCTTTCCACTGTGTTTTTCAGTGTTTTTATGAGTGATGGTCACTCGTTGGCCTGAGAGGTGTTTTGTGTCCAAATTTGGTGTCAATTCACCCAGTGGTTTTTGAGTTATGTTCATCCCACAAACGAACATTACATTTTTATTTATATAGATTAGGCACTAAATGTTTGCCTTCTTGCCATTGGAATGTGCCCCGAGTCCTCTTAGGAAGATAGGGCAGAATATAAATAAAGTTGTTTCTAGACTCCTAGAAAGAATCTTTGAAATCTGCGAATATCCTGACCCGCGAAAGCCAAAACCACAAATGCGAAGGCTGTCGTTCACTCCCCCGTCGCCTCTCGCAAGGAACCAAACCAAGTATCTAAACCTACCCTGATCATAAGGATGATAGAAACAGAAAAATGATACCGCCAGTGATGATAACAATAACCACGATAGGCCTCACCACTTCCTCCCAACGAAAACAAACCAACCAAAAACACACAACGGGGGCAGCAACCGAAAGAGCGGTTATGCTCACCATTTCCCCTCTGAAGCAAGAAAATAAATCACAGTATCACTAACAGTAGGAACGTGTGCTACTCTCTCGTTTCCCATCAAAAGTAATCAAATACGTAAATATATAATACATAAATAAATGATCAATAGGCCTAATAAAAGTTAGAATGTTTGTGTGTGTATGTGGCTGGGGTGCCCACTTCCACAGACAGGCTTTAACCCACTGAGGAGCCACCGAAAGCACTCCTTCCAATGACATTGCAGGTTATAGTGAGCACCATGAACATGTTCAAGGGCCCTGCCAATGTCCTCCCCAAACACCCTCCTGCCCACCACCCAAGGAATGCTTTCATTTGGCGACCATTTCATCCTAGATTTATGTATGTACGTTGGCTGGTCCCACCAAGGCTCCTCTATGGCTTGATGGATCTGGACCAAATTTGGCACACAGGAACTTCACTACTCAACTTGAAATAACTGGTCTCTAAAAAGAAACCTACCCCCTTAAGGGCCAGAGCAGAGAGGTAGGAAAGGAAGGAAGGAAGAGGATTGGCTGCAGCCAGGTTAAATGGCCCTCTGTCATGTGACTGGGAAAGCAAGGGAGCGCAGCACATTGGCTGTTGGGTGTGTGCATAAAGCAGGCATGGGCCAACTTGGGCTCTCCCGGTGTTTTGGAAGGTAGGAAGAAAAGGAAGAAGGGAAAGAAAAGGAAAGAAGGAAGAGCAAGAAAAGGGGAAAGGTGTGAGGCGAGGGTAAGAAAAAAGAGAGGGAGGAAGGAAGATGGAAAGAGAAAAAGAAGGTAATGAAAGGAAGGGAAGCTAGATAGAGGGGGAAAGGGAAGGAGAGAAGGAAAGAGCAATGAAAGGGGTGAGGGGAGAGAAAGAAGGGAAGAGAGGGAAGAAGGAAGAACGGAAGATAGAGAAAAAGAATGGAAGGGAAGGTAGGAAGGTAGGTAGGTAGGTAGGAAGGAAGGAAGGAAGGGAGAGAGGAAGAAAGGAAGAGCAAGAAAAAGGGAAAGATATGAGAAGAGAAGGAAGGAAGGCAAGGGAAGTGATGTGGTGACTGAGGCAGATGGAAGAAGGAAGGAAAATGAAAGAGAAAAAGAAGGGATATGGTGAATGAGACAAATGGAGGATGGATGGAAGGAAGGAATGAAGACAGAGGAAGATGGTGAATGAGGCAAATTGAGGAAGGAAGGGAGGAAGGGAGGGGAAAAAGAAGGGTATGAAGGGAAGTGGAAGGAAGGTAGATAGGTAGATAGGGAAAAAGAAAAGGAAGGTAGGAAGGTAAGAAAGAGAAAAGAAGGGAAAGAAAAAGAGAAAGAAGGAAGGGATATGGTGAATGAGGCAAATGGAGGATAGATGGAAGGAAGGAAAAGGAATGTAAGAATGAAGGCGGGGATGGTGAATGAGGTAAACAGAGGAAGGACGGAGAAAAAGAAGGGAATAAAAGGAAGCGGAAGAAAGGGAAGATAGATAGGGAAAAAGAAGGGAAAGGAAGGAAGATGGTGACTGATGCAAAAAGAGGAAGGCAGGAAGAGGGTGGAAGGAAAAAGAAAAAGATAAAGAAGGGATATGGCGAATGAGACAAATGAAGGATGGAAGGTAAGAATGAAGACAGAGGGAGATAGTGAATGAGGCAAAGGAAGGGGAGCTAGATAGAGGGGAAAGAAAGAGCAATGAAAGGGGTGAGGAGGGAGAAAGAAGGGAAGAGAGGAAGGAAGAAGGGAAGATAGAGAAAAAGAATAGAAGGTAAGGAGGGAGGGAGGAGAAAAAGAAGGGAATTAAAAGAAGCAGAAGGAAGGGGAGATGGGTAGGTAGGTAGGTAGGTAGGGAAAAAGAGAAAGAAGGAGAGAAAGAAAAAGAAGGGAAAGGAAGGAAAAAGGAGGAAGGGAGATAGTGACTGAGGGAAAAGGAGGGAGGGAGGAGAAAAAGAAGGCAATTAAAGGAAGCAGAAGGAAGAGGAGATGGGTAGGTAGATAGAGAAAAAGAGAAGGAAGGAGAGAAAGAAAAAGAAGGGAAAGGAAGGAAGGAAAAAGAAGGATGGGAGATGGTAACTGAGGAAAAAGGAAGGAGGGAGGGGGGAAGGAGAAAAGAAGGGAATTAAAGGAAGCAGAAGGAAGGGGAGATGGGTAGGTAGGTAGAGAAAAAGAGAAGAAGGGAAAGAAAAAGAAGGGAAAGGAAGAAAAAAGGAAGGGAGATGGTGACTGAGGGAAAAGGAGGGAGGTAAAAGGAGGGAGAGAGGAGAAAAAGAAGGGAATTAAAGGAAGCAGAAGGAAGGGGAGATAGGTAGGTAGATAAATAGAAAGGGAAAGAGAAATGGAAGGAAGGAGAGAAAGAAAGAGAAAAAGAAGGGAATGGAAGGGAGGGAGATGGTAATAGGCAATTGGAGGGAGGGAGGGAGGGAGGGAGGGAGGGAGGGAGGGAGGGAGGGAGGAAGGGAGGGAGGAAGGAAGGAAGGAAGGAGGAAAAAGGAGGGAATTAAAGGTAGAGGAAGGAAGGGGAGGTAGGTAGATAAATAGAAAGGGAAAAAGAAAAGGAAGGAAGGAGAGAAAGGAAGAGAAAAAGAGGGGAATGGAAGGGAGGAAAAGGGAGGAAGGGTGATGATGACTGTGGGAAAAGGAGGGAGGGAGGAAGGAAGGAAGGAGAAAAAGAAGGGAATTAAAGGAAGGGGAAGGAAGGGGAGATAGGGAGGTAGGTAGATAAATAGAAAGGGAAAAGAAATGGAAGGAAGGAGAAAAAGAAAGAGAAAAAGAAGGGAATGGGAGGGAGATGGTGACTGAAGCAATTGGAGGAAGAAAGGAAGGAGAAAAAGAAGGGAATTAAAGGAAGCGGAAGGAAGGGGAGGTAGGTAGGTAGAAAAATAGAAAGGGAAAAAGAAATGGAAGGAAGGAGAGAAAGAAAGAGAAAAAGAAGGGAATGGAAGGGAGGGAGGGAGATGGTGACTGAAGCAATTGGAGGAAGAAAGGAAGGAGAAAAAGAAGGGAATTAAAGGTAGTGGAAGGAAGGGGAGGTAGGTAGGTAGGTAGGTAGATAAATAGAAAGGGAAAAAAATGGAAGGAAGGTGAGAAAGAGAAAAAGAAGGGAAAGAAGGAAGGGAGATGGTGACTGAGGCAAAAGAAGGAAGGAAAAAGGAAGGAAGGAAGGAAGGAAGGAAGGAAAAAGGGAAGGAAGGAAAGAAGGAAAGGAGGAAGAGAGGAAGGAAGGAAGGAAGGAAGGAAGGAAGGAAGGAAGAGAAGAAAAGGAAAGGAAAGAAGGAAGGAAGAGGAGAGGAAAGAGAGCGAAGGAAGGAAGGAGAAAAAAAGGGAGGTAGGTAGATAAATAGAAAGGGAAAAAGAAAAGGAAGGAAGGGGAGAAAGAGAAAAAGAAGGGAAAGAAGGAAGCGAGATGGTGACTGAGGCAAAAGAAGGAAGGAAGGAAGGAGAAAAAAAGGGAATTAAAGGAAGCGGAAGGAAGGGGAGGTAGGTAGGTAGGTAGATAAATAGAAAGGGAAAAAGAAAAGGAAGGAAGGGGAGAAAGAGAAAAAGAAGGAAGCGAGATGGTGACTGAGGCAAAAGAAGGAAGGAAGGAAAGAGAAAAAAGAAGGAATTAAAGGAGGGAGGGAGATGGTGACTGTGGGAAAAGGAGGAAGGAAGGAAGGAAGGAAGGAAGGAAGGAGAAAAAGAAGGGAATGGAAGGGAGGAAAAGGGAGATGGTGACTGTGGGAAAAGGAGGGAGGAAGAAAGGAGAAAAAGAAGGGAATTAAAGGAAGCGGAAGGAAGGGGAGGTAGGTAGGTAGGTAAATAGAAAGGGAAAAAGAAATGTAAGGAAGGAGAGAAAGAAAGAGAAGAAGAAGGGAATGGAAGATAGGAAGCAGGAGGGGAAAAGGAGGAAGAGAAGGAAGAGGAAAAAGGAAGGAGAGAGGAACAGGAAGGGAGGGAAGGAGGAGAAGGAAAAGGAGGGAGAAGAAGGAGACCATGAAAACAAGAAGTAGAATCGGAAGGCAGAGAGGAAAGGCGAGGAGATGGTGACTAGTGGGCAAAAGGAGGGAGGAAGAAAGGAGAAAAAGAAGGGAATTAAAGGAAGCGGAAGGAAGGGGAGGTAGGTAGGTAGGTAAATAGAAAGGGAAAAGAAATGGAAGGAAGGAGAGAAAGAAAGAGAAGAAGAAGGGAATGGAAGATAGGAAGGGAGATGGTGACTGAGGCAAAAGGAGGAAGGAAGGAAGCAAGCCAAAGGCAGAAGCCCCAAGGCAGGGCGTGTGGAGGCCCAATCCTCCCCGAGGCAGCAGCTCCCCCCTTCTTTCCCTCAGGCCTCAGGCGCCGGGAGGCCTCTCTGTCCTCAGCAGAGAGCCTCCCTCCCCCGGGGCCTCTCCTCCGCTCCCTAGGCCAGGCCAGACCGGGCCGGGCCCTTTCCCCCCGCGGACGGACGGACTCACCTCGCCCTCCGCCTCCGAAGCGGCGGGCCTCCGGGGGTCCTCCGGCGTCCCTCCCTCCCTCCCTCTCCTTCCTTCCTTTCCCTTCCTTCCTTTCCCTTCAGCGCCCAACCCCTCCGTCACGTGACGGGGGCGCCCAAACCGGAAGCCGCGCGGCCTACTTCCGGTACCGGAAGAAGCTGGGTGTCGTCACTTCCGTTTTGGGTTCTCCCTTGGACTTCCGGCCAAAAGCACTTCCGGTCCCTTTTTAAAGGGCAACCCGCCTCCTGAAGGGAAAGAAGGGAAGGCAGCGGCGCCGGCGGAGGAAGAGGAGGGGGAGGCCGGCTGGCTCTCTGCTTCCACGCCGGGGCGGAGGTGAGGCCTGCGAGGCGCGGGGGAGTCTCCTCGGAGGCTGAGAGAGTGTGCCTCCCCACTTGCCCTCCTTGGGGCCTGATGGAAGTTCTAGTTTGGGGCAGAGCAGGCCCAAGGCCTGGAGGAGCCTCAGCTAGATTCAAACCCACGTTCATAGAATCCTAGAATCCTCGAGTTGGAAGAGATCTCCTGGGCCGTCATCCAGTCCAACCCCATTCTGCCAAGAAGCAGGAACATTGCATTCAAAGCACCCCTGACAGATGGCCATCCAGCCTCTGTTTCAAAGCCTCCAAAGAAGGAGCCTCCACCACACTCCCTCTGGGGCAGAGAGTTCCACTGCTGAACGGCTCTCACAATCAGGAAGTTCTCCCTCATGTTCAGGTGGAATCTCCTCTCTTGTAGTTTGAAGCCATTGGTTCATTGCATCCTAGTCTTCGGGGAAGCAGAGAACAAGCTTGCTCCCTCCTCCCTGTGGCTTCCTCTCACGTATTTATACATGGCCTTCATCATGTCTCCTCTCAGCCTTCTCTTCTTCAGGCTAAACATGCCCAGCTCCTTAAGCCGCTCCTCATAGGGCTTGTTCTCCAGACCCTTGATCCTTTGAGTCGCCCTCCTCTGGACACATTCCAGCTTGTCAATATCTCTCTTGAATTGTGGTGCCTAGAATTGGACACAATATTCCAGGTAAAGTGGTCTAACCAAAGCAGAAGAGAGCGTGAGGAGCATGACTTCCCTAGATCTAGACACTAGGCTCCTCTTGATGCAGGCCAAAATCCCATTGGCTTTTTTTGCTGCCACATCACATTCCTGGCTCATGTTCCCCTTCCTCCCCACGAGGACTCCAAGATCTTTTCCACACGTACTGCTCTCAAGCCAGGCCTCATCGTCCCCCATTCTGTATCTTTGCATTTCGTTTTTCCTGCCAAAGTGGAGTATCTTGCATTTGTCACAGTTGAACTTCATTTTGTTAGTTTTGGCCAATCTCTCTAATCTGTCATTGAATCGGATGAAACAGCTGTGTGGACTCAATTAAATGTGGATTTGAGAGCCGTTCAGCAGTGGAACTCTCTGCCCCGGAGTGAGTGTGGTGGAGGCTCCTTCTTTGGAAGCTTTTGAACAGAGGCTGGATGGCCATCTGTCAGGGGTAATTTGAATGCAATATTCCTGCTTCTTGGCAGAATGGGGTTGGACTGGATGATGACCCAGGAGGTCTCTTCCAACTCTAGGATTTTATGCAGTTGTGTGGAAGGGGCCTTGGGGGGAGTCTTAGGCCCCTTCTACACTGCCAAAATAGAATCCAGATTGTCTGCTTTGAACTGGATTATATGGCTGTGTAAACTCAAATCATAATAATCTTTATTTATACCTCGCCACCATCTCCCCACGGGGGACTCGGGGCGGCTAACATGAAGCCAAGCCCAAAGATACAATACAGCAAAACAAAATAAAGAATACAGACAACAAAACTACATCAGAATAAAATGCGTACAAATAGCAAAATAAAATAAATAAAGCAAATCAACAATATAAAATCAAACAGAATGAGCAGGCTAAATGAATGAGGTAAAATGATAAAACCGTGGGTGAGGTCACAATAGAAAAAAATGTAAATAAGGGGTTAGTCATAAGGCCAAACAGTTGTTCTCAACAGTGTTTCTCAGGATTCCTAATGCCTGACCCCTTAATACAGTTCCTCATGTTGTGGTGACTCCCAACCATAACATTATTTTAGTTGATACTTCACAACAGTCATTGTGCTACTGTTAGGAATCGTCATGTCAATATCTGATATGCAGGACGTATTTTCATTCACCGGACCAAATTTGGCACAAATACCCAGTACACCCAAATCTGAAAACACAATCTCTTCGATCTTCCGGAGGGGCCCTTCTCTCGCTCCCACCCCCATCACAAACACGACTTGTGGGGACGAGGTAGAGGGCCTTCTCTGTGGTGGCCCCCCAACTCTGGCTCGCTCCCCAGAGATATTAGACAAGTCCCCGCCCTGGCAGTCTTTAGGAAGAGCTTGAAAACCTGGCTGTTCCAGTGTGCCTTCAATGGATGAATGAACAATAATACCCTGACTTGACTTACCTCTGTAAAATGGCCCTCGGTAGCACTTTATTTTCCTGCCATTGCAATCACACCCTACTCTACCTCTCAGATCCTCTGTCTAGACACATTACATTGCTCTCTCACCAGTGTTTTTACATTTTTTTTAATCTATTCAAATAGGCCTGCCCAATGTGACCAATTTCTATGTTTTAAATGTTGTAATTTTATATTGTTGATGTGTTTTAAAATGGGTTTGTATTGTATTGTATTGTATTTTGCTGTGTTCTGTTGTATATTGTTTTATTACTGTATTGCTGGGCCTGGCCTCATGTAAGCCGCCCCAAGTCCCCTTGGGGAGATGGTGGTGGGGTATAAATAAAGATTATTATTATTATTATTATTATTATTATTATTATTATTATTATTATTACTGGTGGGCTTGGAGAGGATTGGTTTTGTCATTTGGGAGTTGTAGTTGCTGGGGTTTATAGTCTTACAATCAAAGAGCATTCTGAACTCCACCAACGATAGAATTGGGCTAAGCTTCCGACACAGAACCCAACTGACCAACAGAAAATACTGTGTTTCCTGATTGGTTTTTGGTGACCCCTATGTCACCTCTCTCGCGACACCCCTGTGTGCCAAGTGTGTCAAACTTGGCACACAGAACTTTTGTGATGAACATGAAATACTGGAAGGGTTTGGTGAGCATTGACCTTGAGTTTTGGAGTTGTAGTTCACCTACCTCCAGAATGCACTGTGGACTCAAACCATGATGGATCAGGACCAAACTTGGCACGAATTATCAATATGCCCAAATGTGAACACTAGTGGAGTTTGGGGAGAATAGACCTTGACATTTGGGAGTTGGAGTTGCTGGGATTTATAGTTCATCTACAATCAAAGAGCACTCTGAACCCAGCCCATGATGGATTCACCAAACTTGGCACACTATCTTCATGGCCAACATTACATACTTATGGGGCTGGGGGGCTGTTTTTGAATTCTGGGAGTTGTATTTCAGCAGCACCAAAAAGGAAGAGAAGGACAGGCAGAGAGATCTTCCAAAGGGGTTCCTAAGACCATCAGAAATATGTGTTTTCTGATGGCCTTTGGCAACCCCCCGTGACCCGCCCAGGGGTCCTGACCCCTAGATTGAGAAACACTAGGGTATAGACAGGATTACACTCTCCCTGATTATTATTATTATTATTAACTTTATTTGTACCCTGCTCCCATCTCCCCAAGGGACTCAGTGCAGCTTACATGAGGCCGAGCCCAACACAACAACACAAGCAATAAAACATCAATACAAGCAATTAAAAAACATAGACAATAAAATACACAACATTATTAAAAAGCAACACATGATTAAAACAGTGGGAGGGCCAAATGTAGAGTTAAAATTGGAAATAATGCTGGGCCATGAACGAAAGGTGATGCTAGTGTTTGTGGAGGGCATACAAGCTGAGTTAGGGAAATGTAAAGTGCTTTGGAGGACAAAGAGCTATGGGATTCATTATTACATACATACCCTGAAGACCCAGCTTGGGAGGGATCCTGGGCTCATCGCTGAGCCTGGAACCTCGGGTCTCGGTGGTGTTCCATTTGATTATGTTCTTATTTTAAATGCATTTTTGTTTGATGGATTGTTTGTTTATTGTCTTACGGACATTTGATCCCATGTAAGCTGCCCCGAGTCCCTTTGGGGAGATGGCAGCAGGATACAAAAATAAATATTATTATTGTTATTATTATTATTCCATTTTGATATAGGAAAGTCATTCCCTGGGCCTCTGTCATTGTTTTCCCTTCAGGTTTGTCAACATGACCGACCGAGCCGATAGCCTCCACTTCCAGTTTGACAACTACGGCGACGCCATGCTGCAGAAGATGGACAAGCTGCGAGAGGAGAACAAGTTCTGTGACGTCACCATCCGCATCGACGACCTCGAGGTCCACGGCCACAAAATCGTCTTTGCCGCCGGCTCCCCCTTCTTGAGAGACCAGTTCCTGCTGAACGACTCCCGGGAAGTGAAGATCTCCATCTTGCAGAGCGCCGAGGTCGGGCGGCAGCTGCTCCTCTCCTGCTACAGCGGCGTCCTGGAGTTCCCCGAGATGGAGCTGGTGAACTACTTGACGGCGGCCAGCTTCCTCCAGATGAGCCACATCGTGAAGCGATGCACGCAGGCGCTGTGGAAGTTCATCAAGCCGAAGCAGACGCCGCCGCCGCTCGAGAGCAAAGAGGAGAGCCCGCGGCAGACGGGATCTTCCGAACCGAAGACCAGTGGGGAGGAGGAGGAGGAAGAAGAGGATGAGGATGAAGAAGATTCGTTGCAAGCAGATTCCCCCTGCATCCAGCCGTCCGAGGACGACAGCATGGACATGGACGACAGCGACATCCAGATTGTGAAGGTGGAGTCCATCGGGGAAGCCTCGGAGGTCCGACGCAAGAAGGACCAGAGTCCGTTCGTTTCCTCGGAGCAGCAAAGCTCCCTCCATTCGTCGGAGCCCCAGCATTCCCTCATCAACTCCACGGTGGAGAACCGTGTCGGGGAGATGGAGCAGGGCCAGCTCCACAACTACGCGCTCTCCTACGCCGGGGGTGAGAACCTCTTGGCGGCTTCCAAGGACATGTTTGGCCCCAACCCGCGGGGGCTGGACAAGGGCCTCCAGTGGCACCACCAGTGCCCCAAGTGCACGCGGGTCTTCCGGCACCTGGAGAACTACGCCAACCACTTGAAGATGCACAAGCTCTTCATGTGCCTCCTCTGCGGCAAGACCTTCACCCAGAAAGGCAACCTCCACCGGCACATGCGGGTCCACGCCGGCATCAAGCCCTTCCAGTGCAAGATCTGCGGGAAGACCTTCTCCCAGAAGTGCTCCCTGCAGGACCACCTCAACCTCCACAGCGGGGACAAGCCCCACCGCTGCAACTACTGCGACATGGTCTTCGCCCACAAGCCCGTCCTGCGCAAGCACCTCAAGCAGCTCCACGGCAAGAACAGCTTCGACAACGCCAACGAGCGCAACGTCCAGGACGTCGCCGTGGATTTCGACTCCTTCAGCTGCTGCAGCTCCGGGACGGACTCGAAAGCCGGCCCGCCCGGCGAGGGCGGACAGGTGCTGGATGCGGGAAAGCTGGCCCAAGCCGTGCTCAGTTTGCGGAGCGAAAACGCCTGCGTGAATTGAAAGCGGGCTCCAAAGGGGAGCTTTGTGAGACGAAGGACTGTGAAGAGAGGTGTTTTGGGCATTGAACACGAGAGCCAGTCGGATGAGAAAGCGGGGTTGGACCCAAAATGGTTGCCGTTCTGACCTGAAGGGGAGTTCCTCCGTTTGAGGATTCTGAAGGGTCATTCCCCTTCTACTGGTGACATTAGCCAAATCCACATATTGTAGTGTGGCTTGGATGTTTCTCCAAAAAGCAGCTCTACACTTGGGCCACAGAGTGTGGTGGGGGTCCTTCTTTGGAAGCTTTTAAACAGAGTCTGGATGGTCATCTGTCAGGGTGCTTTGAATGCCATTTTCCTGCTTCTTGGCAGAATGAGGTTGGACTGGATGGCCCACCAATTCTAGGATTCTAAGATGGGTTTTTAAGCTAATTAACAGAAATAACCACCCTGGACTTTTTGAAAGACAAGGGGGAAGAAGCACTGGATCACTGTAAGCTCTTGATATTTGATAAGACTGTTATGCAATTTTTAACTTTGTACGGTTTGTTTAAAAAAATGGGTACTGCCCGTCTTGTACTTCCTACCCTCATGCAGCTTTTTATAAACCCCCCCAGGACCTTTTTCTCTGGCAGATTGCCATCCCTGGAGGTTTCCATGGTTTCAGGAGTTCGCCTTTTAAATAGGTTGAAGGCCCCCACCCAAAAAAATAATCCAGTTTATTTAATCCCAATTGAAAACAGTCATTTTTTCAAAACGAGGTGACTTCCAGCCACATGCAGGTTTTTGTAGGGTGCTTTTTTGGAAGTCTTTACAGACACTGGATTTCCCCAGGGGAAAAATCCCACTCCCCAGCCCATCCCAGTTGCCCACCCCTGCTTCAAAGTGGGAGCAAAACCCAACATTTTCTTAACCCCTTAAGTCCCTCTCCTAATTAAGACAGGTGAAAACCGCTGAGGAAGCTTGGTCTTGTTTGCCTTTTCTTCTTTCCTCTTGAACCTTTGGCCCTCCAGATTCCTCTGACTTCAGCTCCCAGTATCCTCACCCTTCCAGTCAGGGGGTGCTGGGAGCCAGACCCCAATAACGTGGAAAGCTAGAGTTTCAGGGATCCCGCTCTTGACTCTTCTCAGGCTCATTTTTGCCCGCACAGGCCTGTGGAAATGATGTGCTTAGACTAGAAAGGTTGGCGTCGCATGTCTCCATTGTCTTGTGTCTTTGTTGCCCCAAAGAGTGACCTGCAAGAGTGGACTGCAGCCTCTCCTTCCTCTGTTTTCACCCACGTCTGCCCTTCCCAAATGTCMCCCCCCCCCCCCATCCATCCCTCTTCCGGCCTGTGTTACATTTGTGTGTGTGTGTGTATGGTGCTTAGAATCTGTTGTCAGCACTCGAGAAAGTAGTTAGAAGCGATGTTAGGGATGTAGGGATAGAGGAAGGCATCGTTCAAGGACGAGATAGCTACTGTGTTCCCCCCCTTTGAGCTCTTATTCGGAAAAGATATCAAAGCTCCAGAACGTTGAGCAGGTTGTGGCCTTATCTCCAGCCACGCTCAGCTTCAGGCCCCCCACTTCTCTACAGTCTATTTGGTGGAGAGAAATTCTGGAGCAGCTAATGAACAATTAAACCTTTTCTTGTGAAATTCTGGTGCGTACATAATTTCTACTTTTCTCCCAGGCTCGCTTGGGTTCAAGCGTCTTGCTATACTGTGCTGCTTGTTTTGGTGGTCTTTTCTTGAGATGAGAGCCAGAAGCCAAACACTGATTGAGATCATTTCTTTTTCTCCTCTCTGGTGGAGCTTTTGCATTCGCGCCTTCATTCCTAAGCCAATTTCTAAAACTGCTTTGTAGGATTTCAGTTCCCTCCTCTAACAGAACTACTGGTCACATTGTTTGGAGTATTCTGGGATAATAATAATAATGTATTGTCGAAGGCTTTCATGGCCGGAATCACTGGGTTGTTGTAGGTTTTTCCGGGCTATATGGCCATGTTCTGGAGGCAATTTTTCTCCTGACGTTTCGCCTGCATCTATGGCAAGCATCCTCACAGGTAGTGAGGATGCTTGCCATAGATGCAGGCGAAACGTCAGGAGAAAATTGCCTCCAGAACATGGCCATATAGCCCGGGAAAAACTACAACAACATAATAATAATAATACTTTATTTGTACCTCGCTACCATCTCCCAAGGGACTTGGTGCGGCTTACATGTATTGTATTGTAGATATGATTGACACACACAGAGATATAGTATCATAGATTTGAAAGGGACCCTTAAAGAAGGACAATTATATGTTGCATGTTCCAAAACCAGGCACTCTCCACATCAACACTGACAAAGAAACAGCAAGAAATACTGTTTACCCACAAGCAGAAAGAAATTACATATATATTACATATATTAGAAACCAACACTTTCTCATTACTTTATTTGCCAGATCAACAGACTGGGCCACAGCAACGCCTGGCAGGGGACAGCTAGTGTGTACACACACACACACATATATATATAAATAACGTAATATATATTATATAATATACTTTACTGAAAGCCTTACTTAGGCCATGAAAGCCTTACTTAGGCGAACCCTCGTAGTCCGAGGATGATGGTCCTCCAAGTTCGGTGTCCTGGTGGTGGGTTCGTAGGTGGCTGTGGAGCCCTCTTCTTGGCCTGCCTCTTCTCCCACAGTGAGGGCATCAGTTTACAGGTGGATGGCGGTCTCGGATGGGGTTGGCATGATGCGCCTTCCTCTTGGCATGTTTCTCTCTTTCGCCCTCCATTTGTGCCTCTTCAAATTCTGCAGCACTGCTCATCACAGCTGACCTCCAGCTGGAGCGCTCAAGGGCCAGGGCTTCCCAGTTCTCTCTCAGTGTCTATGCCAGAGTGTTTAAGGTTGGCTTTGAGCCCATATTTCAATCCTTTTCCTGTCCACCAACATTCCGTTTTCCGTTCTTGAGTTCGGAGTAGAGCAACTGCTTTGGGAGACGGTGGTCGGGCATCCAGACAACATGGCCAGTCCAGCGGAGTTGATGGTGGAGTTGATTATTATTATATAATATATACTACAACTTATGATATAGTACAATATATAATAATAGTATACTATACCGGTAGTGTATTATGCATATTGTGGTATACTAATATAGTACAATATAATAATATAATAATTGTATAGGATATATGACATGTAGTATTACTAATACTATTTTTGTATAGTGCAACATAGTAATATATAATACTAATATTGTGCATATTATATTCATATACTAATATATTGTATATGCATATAATATTGATAATATTACAATACAGTAATAGATTACTGCAACGCACTCTACGTGGGGTTGCCTTTGAAGACTGTTCGGAAACTTCAACTAGTCCAACGGGAGGCAGCCAGATTGCTCACTGGAGCATCATACAGGGAGCACACCACCCCCCTGTTGTGTCAACTCCACTGGCTGCAGATCTAGTTCGGAGCACAATTTCAAAGTGCTGGTTTTGACCTATAAAACCCTACACGGCTCTGGCCCTGTGTATCTGTCCGAACGGATCTCCCTCTACGTCCCACCCCGGAGTTTAAGATCGACTGGGGGGGGGCCCTGCTCTCGACCCTGCCAGTATCACAAGTGAGGCTGGTGGGGACGAGGAGCAGGGCCTTCTCGGTGGCGGCCCCCTGCCTGTGGAACTCGCTCCCTGGGGAAATCAGAACAGCAACCTCACTCCTCTCTTTCAGGAAAAAATTGAAAACATGGTTGTGGGACCAAGCGTTTGATCAATCGGGTAGGTAAAGAAAGGAAAGGCCTAGGAAATGTCTAATGGAACGGAATCTGGAACCCGGAAGACGAATGCTGAACGCGTGAATAGTTTGATATAATGTGGTTTGTTTACTTCGTGTGTTATTATTATTATTATTTTATTATTATTATTATTATTATTATTATTATTATTATTATTATATTATAACTTTCTTCAAGACCAAGAACAAGCCTCAAGACCAAGAACAAGCCACGAGAGTCAAGATGAAGATCCACCCAGAGGAAAAATGTTCCTGCCATACATCAAGGGAACCACTGACCGCATAGGGAAGCTGATGAGGAAACACAACATACAAACAATCTACAAACCCACCAAGAAAATCCAACAAATGCTACGTTCAGCAAAGGACAAGAGGGATCCTCTCACCTCTGCAGGAGTCTACCGTATACCATGCAGCTGTGGACAAGTCTACATAGGGACCACCAAACGCAGCATTGCCCAAACACGAATCAAGGAACATGAAAGGCACTGCAGACAACTTCAACCAGAGAAGTCAGCCATAGCAGAGCACCTGATGAACCAACCTGGACACAGCATATTTATTTGAGAACACAGAAATGCTGGACCACTCTCACAACCACCATGTCAGGCTACACAGAGAAGCCATTGAAATCCACAAACATGTGGACAATTTCAACAGAAAGGAAGAAACCATGAAAATGAACAAAATCTGGCTACCAGTATTAAAAAATTCTAAAATTGCAACAGCAAAACAGCAGGGAGAAAAACAGGCAGGGACATCTAATCACCTTTCAAGAAGAGTTTGCTCCAGGCACAGTCAGCCCATTGTATGCTAATCAAGGTGGTCAGTTGAAAAGATTCACACCTAGCCCAACTTACAAAAGCCCTTTGTCTCACCCTGGTCATTCCACAGATATATAAACCCCTTTTTCCCATTTCCAGCAGACCTCACCTCTGAGGATGCTTGCCAGAGATGCAGGTAAAACGTCAGGAGAAATGCCTCTAGAACCATATAGCCCGAAAAAACCCACAAGAACTGAGTATTATAACTTTATTTGTACCCCGCTAGCATCTCCCGAAGGATTCGATGCGGCTCACAACAGGCCGAAGCCCAACATAATACAACAATACAATATCTAGCAAATAAAAACAGTTAAGCAAAAAAGACAATGACAATAACAATACGACAAGACATTATTAAAAACTGAGTCGGCCGGAGTAGGGGCACAAGGTTAAAACTATGACTTTATTATATGTAACTGTAATTGTATAGGCATCAAATGGTGCCTTGTTGTGTAAGCTGCCCTGGGTCCCCCCTCGGGGGTTGAGAATCATAGAATCAAAGAGTTGGAAGAGACCTCATGGGCCATCCAGTCCAACCCCATTCTGCCAAGAAGCAGGAATATTGCATTCAAATCACCCCTGACAGATGGCCATCCAGCCTCTGTTTAAAGCTTCCAAAGAAGGAGCCTCCACCACACTCCCTCCGGGGCAGAGAGTTCCACTGCTGAACGGCTCTCACAGTCAGGAAGTTCTTCCTCATGTTCAGATGGAATCTCCTCTCTTGTAGTTTGAAGCCATTGTCCTGCGTCCTAGTCTCCAAGGAAGCAGAAAACAAGCTTGCTCCCTCCTCCCTGTGGCTTCCTCTCACATATTTATACATGGCTATCATATCTCCTCTCAGCCTTCTCTTCTTCAGGCTAAACATGCCCAGCTCCTTAAGCCGCTCCTCATAGGGCTTGTTCTCCAGACCCTTGATCATTTTAGTCGCCCTACTCTGGACACATTCCAGCTTGTCAATATCTCTCTTGAATTGTGGTGCCCAGAATTGGACACAATATTCCAGGTGTGGTCTAACCAAAGCAGAATAGAGCATGGGGAGCAGGACTTCCCTAATCTAGACACTAGCTCCTATTGATGCAGGCCAAAATCCCATTGGCTTTTTTTGCCGCCACATCACATTGTTGGCTCATGTTTAACTTGTTGTCCACGAGGACTCCAAGATCTTTTTCACACGTACTGCTCTCGAGCCAGGCATTGTCCCCCATTCTGTATCTTTGCATTTCATTTTTTCTGCCAAAGTGGAGTATCTTGCATTTGTCACTGTTGAACTTCATTTTGTTAGTTTTGGCCCATCTCTTTGATCTGTCAAGATCATTTTGAATTCTGCTCCTGTCCTCTGGACTATTGGCTATCCCTCCCAATTTGGTGTCGTCTGCAAACTTGATGATCATGCCTTCTAGAAGGGCGGGGTAAAAGTAAAGGAAATAAATAAATAAATAAATAGTACTAATAATACACTATAATTATATAATACACTATTACCATAATTATAATAATCATAATTATAATAATATAATGTAATCAAGACATAGTTTTCTTAGATCTACAGAGACACTCCCTGGAACACCCCAGCAAGCGAGAGTCCAAAAGTGGCAGGCCCAAACCCAGCACCTCAATCAATGGCTGATACCAGATGAGAGACTCCCCCCTGGGCACACAGAAGACAGGGCGACTTGGAAGGTGCTGAACAGACTGCGCTCTGGCACCACGAGATGCAGAGCCAACCTTGAGAAATGGGGCCACAAAGTGGAATCCTCGGCATGCGAGTGCGGAGAAGAGCAAACCACTGACCACCTGCTGCAATGAAACCTGAGCCCTGCCACATGATGCACAAGGGAGGACCTTCTTGCGGCAACAACAAAGGCACTCCAAGGGGACAGAGACTGGTCAAAGGACATTATATTATAATGTTATACAAGAATACTAAAAATACACTATAATAATTATAATGTAATACAAGAATAGTAATAATGCACTATAATAATAATAATTATATAATACACTATTATAATTATCATAATCATAAGAATATTATAATGTAATATAAGAATACTAAAAATACACTATAATAATTATAATGTAATACAAGAATAGTAATAATGCACTATAATAATAATTGTATAACACACTATTATAATTATCATAATCATAAGAATATTATAATGTAATACAAGAATACTAAAAATACAATATAATAATTATAATGTAATACAAGAATAGTAATAATGCACTATAATAATAATAATTATATAATACACTATTATAATTATCATAATCATAATAATATTATAATGTAATGCAAGAATACTAAAAATACAATATAATATAATGTAATACAAGAATAGTAATAATGCACTATAATAATAATTATTATATAATACACTATTATAATTATCATAATCATAATATATTGTAATACAATACTAATAACCCGCGACAATCGTGCAGGGAAGAAGGGAAGCCACTCTGCTTTTCATATGTTTATGTTTTTGCAGCCTTCTCCTCGCCTCGCTTCCTGATTGGCCGGCAGCGTGAGCGCCCTCGGCCAATAGGGTGCAGGCTCCTGTGTGCGCGCGGGTTCTATTCCGGGTGAGGAACAGGAGGCGCGGAAAAAGGTTCCGGGGAGTGTTTCCTTCCTCCTCCTTCCCTGCCAACCTGTGCATGCCTCAAAGGAGACCGGCTTCCAACCGAGCAGCAAGGGAAGCAGGAAAGGTATGGCTTTTATTTCTAGGGCAGTCCCAATGGGAAGGAAAGAAGGATCTTTCCCCCCCCTGTATTTTGGAAATATTGGCATATATCAGTGTTCTCAACCTGGGGTCCCCAAATGTTTTTGGCCTACAACTCCCAGAAATCTCAGCTAGTTTACCAGCTGTTAGGATTTCTGGGAGTTGTAGGCCCAAAACATCTGGGGACCCCAGGTTGAGAACCACTGGATATATCCTGTAACATACCTTTGCACCACCTAGATCTGGGCCAAGCTTGGCCTACACCCCTTCCATTATCCTATGTAAAAATAATTGGGGGGTTTCATCTAAAGGAAGAAAGAAATTCAGGGATTGGCTGTGGCAGAGTGAAGTGGCCCTCTGTCACGTGACTGGGAAAGGAAGGCAGGGAATGCAGTGTCCAGTTCTGGGCCCCACAATTCAAGAGAGACATTGACTCTAAGCTGGAATGTGTCCAGAGGAAGGTGATCAAGGGTCTGGGGAACAAGCCCTATGAGGAGCGGCTGAAAGAGCTGGGCATGTTTAGCTTGAAGAAGAGAAGGCTGTGAGGAGATATGATAGCCTTGTATAAATATGTGAGAGGAAGCCACAGGGAGGAGGAGGGAGCAAGCTTGTTTTCTGCTTCCATGGAGACTAGGGTCTGGAGAACAAGCCCTATGAGGAGCGGCTTAAGGAGCTGGGCATGTTTAGCCTGAAGAAGAGAAGGCTAAGAGGAGACATGATGAGGGCCATGTATAAATATGTGAGAGGAAGCCACAGGGAGGAGGGAGCAGATCAGGGTTCTGGAGAACAAGCCCTATGAGGAGCGGCTTAAGGAGCTGGGCATGTTTAACCTGAAGAAGAGAAGGCTGAACGGAGACATGATAGCCATGTATAAATATGTGAGAGCAAGCTTCCTTTCTGCTTCCCTGGAGAGTAGGACGCAAGGGAACAATGGCTTCAAACTACAAGAGAGGAGATTCCATCTGAACATGAGGAAGAACTTCCTGACTGTGAGAGCCGTTCAGCAGTGGAACTCTCTGCCCCGGAGGGAGTGTGGTGGAGGCTCCTTCTTTGGAGGCTTTGAAACAGAGGCTGGATGGCCATCTGTCAGGGGTGCTTTGAATGCAATATTCCTGCTTCTTGGCTGAATGGGGTTGGACTGGATGATGGCCCAGGAGGTCTCTTCCAACTCTTTGGTTCTATGAAGCAGGTGAGCTGCTGCTTTTTTTTTTTTATCGTGTCAGGAGCGACTTGAGAAACTGCAAGTCGCTTCTGGTGTGAGAGAATTGGCCATCTGCAAGGGCGTTGCCCAGGGGACGCCCAGATGTTTTGATGTTTTAACATCCTTGTGGGAGGCTTCTCTCATGTCCCCGCATGGGGAGCTGGAGCTGATAGAGGGAGCTCATCCGCCTCTCCCCGGATTTGAACCTGCAACCTGTCGGTCATCAGTCCTGCCGGCACAGGGGGTTAACACACTGTGCCACTGGAGACTCCGGATAAATATGTGAGAGGAAGTCATAGGGAGGAGGGAGGGAGCAATCTTCCTTTCTGCTTCCCTGGAGACTAGGATGCAAAGGAACAATGGCTTCAAACTAAAAGAGAGGAGATTCCACCTGAACATGAGGAAGAACTTCCTGACTGTGAGAGCCGTTCAGCAGTGGAACTCTCTGCCCCGGAGTGTGGTGGAGGCTCCTTCTTTGGAGGCTTTGAAACAGAGGCTGGATGGCCATCTGTCAGGGGTGCTTTGAATGCAATATTCCTGCTTCTTGGCAGAATGGGGTTGGACTGGATGATGGCCCAGGAGGTCTCTTCCAACTCTTTGATTCTATGAAGCAGGTGAGCTGCTGCTATATGGCAGGAAGGAAAGGAAGAGAAAAAGAAGGAAACTAAATTGAGAAGGAAGAGAGGGGGATATAAAGAGGAAGGAAGGGAAGGAAGAATGAATGAAAGGGAAGAGGGGGGATGGTGTATGAGGGAAAGCAAGGGAAGAGAGAGAAAACAAAAGGGGAAGGTGCATGAAAGAAAGAAGGGAAGAGAGAGAAAGATAAAGACGAGTGAAGCAGATGAGGAAAGAAAGAAGGAAAGAGAAAGAGAAGAAAGACGAGTGAAGCAGATGAGCTGTTGCTATATGACAGGAAGAAAAGAAAGAGGAAAAAGAAGAAAACAAAATTGAGAAGCAAGAGAGAGTGCAATAAAGAGGAAAGAAGAGAAAAGGAAGAAGGGATGAAAGGAGGGGAGGGTAGAGAGATAGGGGAAGGAAAGAAAGGGAAAGCGAGGAAAGATAGAAAGAGAAAGAAGAGGGGGGCAAGATGTAAGAGGGGAAGAGAGAAAGAAAAAAGAAAGAATGTGCATGAAGGAAAGAAAGAAAGGGGAAGCTGTATGAAGGAAAGAGGAAGAAAGAAGGAACATGCATGAAGGAAGGAAGGAAGGAAAAGAAAGAAGGAAAGGGGAAGGTGTATGAAGGAAAGAGAAATAAAGAAGGAACAGGCGGGCAGGCAAGAAAGAAAGAGGAAGGTGTATGAAGGAAAGAGAAAGAAAGAAGGAACATGCATGAAGGAAGGAAGGAAAAGAAATAAGGAAGGAAGGAAGGGAAGGTGTATGAAGGAAAGAGAAAGAAAGAAGGAACATGCAGGAAGGAAGGAAGGAAGGAAAAGAAAGAAGGAAAGGGGAAGGTGTATGAAGGAAAGAGAAATAAAGAAGGAACAGGCGGGCAGGCAAGAAAGAAAGAGGAAGGTGTATGAAGGAAAGAGAAAGAAAGAAGGAACATGCATGAAGGAAGGAAGGAAAAGAAAGCAGGAAGGAAGGAAAGGGGAAGGTGTATGAAGGAAAGAGAAAGAAGGAACATGCAGGAAGGAAGGAAGGAAGAAAAGAAAGGGGAAGGTGTGTGAAGGAAAGAGAAAGAAAGAAGAAACATGCAGGAAGGAAGGAAGGAAGAAAAGAAAGAGGAAGGTGTATGAAGGAAAGAGAAAGAAAGAAGGAACATGCATGAAGGAAGGAAGGAAAAGAAAGCAGGAAGGAAGGAAAGGGGAAGGTGTATGAAGGAAAGAGAAAGAAAGAAGGAATGCAGGAAGGAAGGAAGGAAGAAAAGAAAGAGGAAGGTGTATGAAGGAAAGAGAAAGAAAGAAGGAACAGGAAGGAAGGAAGGAAAGAAGGAAAGAAAGAAAGGGGAAGGTGTGTGAAGGAAGGAAGGAAGGAAAGAAAGGGGAAGGTGTGTGAAAGAAAGAAAGAAAGAAAGAAAGAAAGAAAGAAAGAAAGAAAGAAAGAAAGAAAGAAAGGGGAAGGTGTATGAAGGAACAGGAAGGAAGGAAAGAAGGAAGGAAGGAAGGAAGGGGAAGATGTATGAAGAAAGGTGTATGAAGGAAAGAGAGAGAGAGAAAGAAAAGAAGAGAGGGAAGGTGTGTGAAATAAAGTAGAAGAAAGAGAGAAGAGTGGGAAGATCCATAAATACTGTGACGATCTATAGATAGCTCTTAGTCCTTTGACTTCTGCTGCGTGCTCCCATGCCTTCTCTGACTCATCTGTTAAGCCGCCTTTCCTGGTTCTTGTCTCGCTGAAGTTCCGCTTTGTTTCCGCGCTGCGCTTGCAGGGCTCTTGACCATGGCTGCCGACTCGGACGTCCTCCACTTCCAGTTCGAGCAACAAGGCGACGCCATCCTGCAGAAGATGAACCTCCTGCGGCAGCAGAACCTCTTCTGCGACGTCTCCATCTACATCAACGACACGGAGTTCCCGGGGCACAAGGTGATCTTTGCGGCCTGCTCCACCTTCATGCGGGACCAGTTCCTCCTGACCCAGTCCCAGCAGGTGCGCATCACCATCCTGCAGAGCGCCGAGGTCGGCCGGAAGCTGCTCCTCTCCTGCTACACGGGGGCTCTGGAGGTGAAGCGGAAGGAGCTCCTCAAATACCTGACGGCCGCCAGTTACCTGCAGATGGTCCACATCGTGGAGAAGTGCACGGAGGCGCTTTCCAAGTACCTGGAGATGGATGCCGCCCTGGAAGGTGAGGCAGGGCAGGCCGAGAAGTGTCACTCCTCTGACATGGAGACGGGAGGCAAAGACGGAGGCGCGGACGGGGACTGCGAGATTATCGAGATTTCCGAAGATAGCCCCGTTCACCACGTCAAACGGGAAAAGGGGGAGAGACCGCGGCTGATCCCGGATCGCAAGGAGGCCAAAAGCCCGGAGATATCGGCCGTCGAGATCGGCTACAAGGACGAGGAGATCTGCATCTTCCAAATGGGTCCCGACGTGGACGACGACAACGAACGTTTTTCGCAGCCCTCCACCTCTTCGAAGCCCAACCTGTACTTCCCGGAGACTCAGCACTCGTTGATCAACTCGACGGTGGAGAGCCGGATGACAGAAGCCTCCGCGGCGCCGTTCCAGAGCTTTGGGGGTGAGAACCCGGAAGGCGCCGCAATGCCGGGGTTGGGCAACCCGGAGGATTCGGGCTACTCGTGGCGCCACCAGTGCCCCAAATGCCCCCGCGGCTTCCTCCACCTGGAGAACTACCTCCGGCACCTCAAGATGCACAAGCTCTTCCTGTGCCTGCAGTGCGGGAAGACCTTCACGCAGAAGAAGAACCTCAACCGGCACATCCGGGGCCACATGGGCATCCGGCCTTTCCAGTGTATGGTGTGCCTCAAGACCTTCACGGCCAAGAGCACCCTCCAGGACCATCTCAACATCCACAGCGGGGACCGGCCCTACAAGTGCCACTGCTGCGACATGGACTTCAAGCACAAGTCCGCCCTCAAGAAGCACCTCACCTCCGTCCACGGGAGGAGCGGCGCGGACAAGGCCTCCTTCGACGCCATTACCGAGGTCAGGATAGACTACGACTAGGAAGACCTTTCGGGGGGGATCCATTGCAAGTCACAGCGCTATCCTGCCCTTTAAGATCCTCGTCCCGCTCGCTGAGGCACCCCAACATTCCCACAAACAGCACCTCCAAAAGATAGGTGGGAACTTTATCCAGAGGTGTGTTCACACTGTATATTGATACCCTTTCAATCCCACTTTAACCAGCATGACTCCCTCCGATAGGAATTATCGTTCGATGGAATATTTGGGATTCTCTGCTTTAATGAACCAACATTTTCTGACAAAGGAGGACCTTACTTTAGTAACACCAAGCCAGAGGGTGCTGTGTTTTGTTTGCTAGATTTGGTTACACAAACACGTATACATACACATATACATACACAGATATACATACTCAACATACACAAATATGCATACACACATATACACAAATATATATCTGTGGGTGTATACACATATACATACACAAATATACATACACTTAGATATACATACCCATATACACAAATATACACATACACAGATATACATACTCACATACACAAATATACATACACAGAGATATACATACACATATATACAAATATACATATTCACATGCACAAATATACACATACACAGATATACATACAATTATACACAAATATATACATACACACAGATATACATACTCACATACACAAATATGCACACACAGAGATATACATACACATATATACACATAGACAGATATACATACTCACATACACAAATATGCATACACACAGATATACATACACATATACACAAATATATATCTGTGGACGTAAACACATATACACACACAGATATACATACACATATACGCAAATATACACATACACACATATACATACTCACATACACAAATATTCATACACACACATATACATAAACATATACACAAATATACACAGATATACATACTCATATTCCCAAATATGCATACACACAGATATACATACACATATACACAAATATATATCTGTGGGTGTACCCACATATATACATACACATATACACACTGAGATATACATATAATACATATATACAAATATACATGCACATAAACACACACAGATATACATGCACACATACACAAATATACATACACATATACACAAATATACATACACATATCCACACACACAGGTGTACTTACACATATACATACACTCTACATTTACTATTATATTTATATACCACTTTCTTCTCTTAAAGAGAGAAGAAATTTTATCCTAGGGTTTGCTGAGTGGGATTATTATTATTATTATTATTATTATTATTATTATTATTTATATACCGCATTTCCTTCTCTTAAAGTGGTGTATTGATAAATGTAATAATAATCATGATAAACCTTAAAAGTGGGATCAAACTGCGGCAACTGTACAGTGTGGATGCACCTCAGAAACAACAGAAGGAGATCTCCCCTACGCACTTTGGGACAATGTATTATCGTCAGGTTTCACTCCTTAAGCAGTATTTATGTTCGTATTTATGACAAAGTCTGTTGGTGATTGTGACTTTAAAGTGTCCAGTGGCACGGAAGTGGGCTCTGCCTCGAATGGCACCTTTTTGGGGTATTTGGCAGGAAAGAGCAGCCTCGCGTTTGCCTTCGAAGCCTCCTATTCGTCTGCCATGGAATACAAGGGATGGATCTGAGACGGAGACTGGGTCCGGATATAAGATTATCCACCATTTTTGTCTTGGGAGAGAACAAACTCCATTCCTTCCAACCAAACCATCTGGAACCTTTGCTAATACGGGTGCGACTGACTTGTGTTTGGTAAACAGACTGGGCCTTTGGGCTGCTGAGAGTTTTTCAGGCTGTCTGGCCGTGTTCCAGTAGCATTCTGTTCTGATGTTTCGCCAAGGCACCAGACCTCTTGCTGAACCTTGAGAAACTACAGCTCTCATGATCCCACAGCACTTCAAGGAGTGCCATTTGTCAACAGTGTACGTGGATCCCAAATCATGCCCTCCATTCTCCTGGTGCTTGACGTTTCGCCTCCATCTTTGTTTCAAAATACTCTTGTGTCTCCCCTGGAAATATGTATATATATATAAGTGATATAAACACCTGTGCTTTCTATATAAGGATCCTAGAGTGGGAAGAGACCTCAAAAGCCTAAGCAGAGGCTGGATGGCCATCTGTTGGGAGGGCTTGGATTGTGCCTTCCTTCATGGAACAAGGGGGTTGGATTGGATGGCCTCTTGGGACCCCTTTGAACTCTCGGATTTTATGGTTCTTTATTATTATTATTATTATTATTATTATTATTATTACTATTAGAGTCTGGATGTCCATCTATTGGGAGGGCTTGGATTGTGTCTTCCTTCCAGGAAAAAGTGGGTTGGACTGGATGGCCCCTTGAGGTCTCTTCTAACTCTAGGACTCTATGGTTCTGTATTTTTATTATTATTTTAAGCAGAGGCTGAATGACCATCTGTCGGGAGGGCTTGGATTGTGCCTTCCTTCTTGGAAGAAGGGGGTTGGACTGGATGGCCTCTTGAGGTCCTTTCCGACTCTAGGATTCTCCTTTTTTGTAAGCGTTGTGCTGGCTGTGTTTACGTTTTGTTCAGTTGTTTTGTTTTTGGTGCTTGTGTTGCCCGAGTGCTGATGATGTCCGGTTTTGGGGAAGGTTGGGTTCATTGTTCGGTGTGCGCTTTTTCCTTCGTGGGCTTGCACGTGACAATAAAGTTCTCCCACTTTTGATGGCAGCCTTTGACACAGCTCATCAATGTCATTCCCTAATTGGTTCCATCATCAAAACATGGGGAAAGTGTTTGCAAGAGGGACACCATCCTGCCGCAGCACATTTTCGTTCATCTGGAGAGGCCCTGCTCACGATCCCACCGGCATCGCAAGCGCGATTGGTGGGGACGAGGGACAGGGCCTTCTCGGGGGTGGCCCCACGACTCTGGAACTTCCTTCCCAAGAACATCAGGCACTCCCCAACACTGGCAGTCTTCAGAAGGAGCTTGAAAACATAGATGTTCCAATGTGCCTTCCCAGATTAAGGCATCCCAAGCAATTGTCCCTAATGCACTTTATGAGAGAATTGCCTGCACACCCTTCTATTCCCAAAATATCCATTCCACCTCACCTGGGCATGCCCAGCATTTTTAGAATTTTAACCATTACATTTGGCCCTGCCACAGGTTTTTTAACAGTGTTGTGTTTCTGTTATTGTTCTATTGCTTTGTTATGAGTTTATTTATTGTTGCATTGTATTGTTGCCTGTTGTGTTTTTGTTAACGATGTACTTTGGGCTCGGCCTCTTGTAAGCCGCACCGAGTCCTGCGGGAGATGGTAGCGGGGTACAAATAAAGGTTTATTATTATTATTATTTATTTTGCAATAGCTTTCCAATGGATATCTCATCCCCGCGTCCCAACCCATTCAACCTAGTTTGTGGCAGCCACAAAAACAAAACAACTACTTTCAAAGCCAGGAAAGGACAGAACATTTCTTTAATTACTATTTCATTATTATTTACATGTACATAACATCACAGCAGACATGCCCATGAGGTCCAAGTGTCTGGGGTTCGTCTCTGAATATCGGGCTCTTCCCAAGGGCCTGGGATAGTAGATGTATATTATTATTATTATTATTATTATTATTATTATTATATTTTTATTTTATTTACATGTACATAACATAGCACACATGTGTTCCGCTGTTCTGTACATGTGTTGTTACGTACAGGGATATTTATTTATTATTTATTTATTGACTTTGCTTCTATACCGCTGTATCTCAAGCCCGAAGGCGACTCACAGCGGTTCACAAACAGTAAAAACAGTAGAAACAGCAGTGGTTCCATACAACATATAACAATTGACTTAACACATTATCCATAAATTACCAATAAGCAATTACAATGCACAATTATTACAAAAAACAACCGTACCCAATCTTCTCATCATCCAAGCGTAGTCCAGGTTCGTCGTCCATTGTTCCATTCCTATGTTCCATTACCAGATTGCACTAAATTACTCAAACGCCTGCACAAACATCCAGGTCTTCACCTTTTTGCGGAATACCCTTAGAGATGGTGCTAGTCTAATGTCCGTAGGAAGGGCGTTCCACAGCCGAGGAGCCACCACCGAGAAGGCCCTATCTCTCGTCCCCGCCAGCCGAGCTTGAGAAGCAGGCGGGATCGAGAGCAGGGTCTCCCGGAAGATCTCAAAGTCCTGGTGGGTTCATAGGCAGAGATGCGGTCGGATAGGTAGCTTGGGCCGGAACCGTTTAGGGCTTTAAAGGCCAACGCCAGCACCTTGAATTGAGCCCGGTAGCAGATCGGCAGCCAGTGGAGCTGGTGCAGCAGGGGAGTTGTATGCTCCCTGCGCTCCGCTCCTGTTAGTATCATGGCTGCCGAGCGTTGGACTAGCTGGAGCTTCCGAGCCGTCTTCAAAGGCAACCCCACGTAGAGAGCGTTGCAGTAGTCTAGGCGGGATGTAACAAGAGCGTGGACTACCGTGGCCAAGTCAGACTTCCCAAGGTACGGGCGCAGCTGGCGCACAAGCCTAAGCTGTGCAAATGCTCCCCTGGTCACCGCCGAGACCTGGGGTTCCAGGCTCAGCGATGAGTCCAGGGTCACACCCAAGCTGCGAACCTGCGTCTTCAGGGGGAGTGCGGCCCCATCCAACACAGGCTGTAACCCTATGCCCTGTTCGGCCTTGCGACTGACCAGGAGGACCTCTGTCTTGTCTGGATTCAATTTCAATTTGTTCGCCCTCATCCAGACCGTCACAGCGGCCAAGCACCGGTTCAGGACCTGGACAGCCTCCTTAGTAGCAGGTGGAAAGGAGTGACAGAGTTGGACATCATCCGCGTACAGATGACACCGTACCCCGAAACTCCGGATGATCTCCCCCAGCGGCTTCATGTAGATGTTAAACAACATGGGAGACAATATTGAGCCCTGAGGAACCCCACAAGACAATGGTTGTGGGGTTGAACAGGTGTCCCCCAACAACACCTTCTGAGATCGACCCTCCAGGAAGAGACATATTATTATTATATATTATCCGTATGTTATATATTATTATATTATATGAATATTAGAGGGGTATTAGAGGCCTTATATTATTATATATTATTGTTATCTATTATTATATTATATATTATTATTTATTTACATGTACATAACACAGCTCACATGTGTTGTGTTGTTATGTATGTGTGTTGTTATGTACAGAGATACGCAGCATTATATTATTATTATATATTATCATATTATATCTTATTATATTACATGGATATTAGAAGGGTATTAGAGGCATATTATTATTATTATATATTATGTCATATATTATTATATGTTATACATTATTATATGCTATGTTGTTATGTTATATATTACATTATATTTTATTAATATGTCATATATTATTATATTATATATTATTATTTATTTACATGTACATAACACAGCCCACATGTGTTGTGTTGTTATGTATGTGTGTTGTTATGTACAGAGATATGAGGCATCGTATTATTATTATATGTTATCATTATGTTATATATTCTTATATTAAATGGATATTAGAAGGGTATTAGAGGCATTATATTATTATTATTACTATTAGTATTATTATATATTACCATGTTACACCAGAAGCGACTTGCAGTTTCTCAAGTCGCTCCTGACACAACAAAAAATGTTATATTTTATTATATGTTATATATTATTATATGCTATGTTGTTATGTTATATATTATATATTATTATGTTATATATTATTTTTACATGTACATAGCAACCACTTTGAGTCGCTTGTGGGCTGAAAAAAGCGGTATATATAGGAAATAAATACATAAGTATTACTTATTAATGTTATATTATATTCTATTTTTATTTCATTTACATGTACATAACACAGCACACATGTGTTGTGCTGTTCTGTACATGTGTTGCTACATACAGGGATATAAGAGACATATGATTATTGTTATTATACATTATTATATTATATATTATGTTATATATTATTGTAGTGAATATGTTATATATTATATATTGTTATTTATTTACATGTACGTAACAACACAGCACACATGATCATTAGTGTGCTCTATGAGATCAGGGCCTTGTATGCAAATGAGCCCTAGGGAGGCCCCGCCCACACTTCATATGCTCTGTAGAGATCAGGCTCTGCTATGCAAATGAGCCCCGGGGAGGCCCCGCCCACCCTCAGTCTGCTCTATGAGATCAGGCTCTGCTATGTAAATAAGCCCCCGGGAGGCCCCGCCCACACCCAGTAGAGATCGCGCTCTGCTATGCAAATAAGTCCCAGGGAAGCCCCGCCCACCCTCATTGAGCTCTGTAGAAACCAGGGCCTACTATGTAAATGAGTCCCGGGGAGGCCCCGCCCACCCTCAGCTCTGTAGAAAAGGTCCGGGTCTGCTATGCAAATAAGCCCCAGAGAGGCCCCGCCTACACCCTGTAGAGATCAGGGCCTGGTATGCAAATGAGTCCCGGAGAGGCCCCGCCCACCCTCATTGAGCTCTGTAGAGATCAGGCACTGCTATGTAAATAAGCCCTAGGGAGGCCCCGCCCACACCCTGTAGAGATCAGGCTCTGTTATGCAAATAAGCCCCAGGGAGGCCCCGCCCACCCTCATTGAGCTCTGTAGAGAAGGTCAGGGCCTACTATGCAAATGAGCCCAAGGAAGCCCCGCCCACCCTCAGGGAGGTTTGTAGAGAAGATCAGGCTCTGCTATGCAAATAAGCCCCGGAGAGGCCCCGCCCATCCCCATTGAGCTCTGTAGAGATGAGGGCCTGGTATGCAAATGAGCCCCGGAGAGGCCCCGCCCACCGTGAGAGGAGGCTCACGTGAGAGAGAGAAAGAGAGCGAGACGAGGGCTGTGTGGGGGGGAAGTCTCGTGGGGAAGTCTCGCGAGAGGTGCGCCGCGGGGCGTGCCCGGCGTGGTGGGCGGGGCTCCCGGCTGTCACCGCGATGAGGAGACGACGTCGCCGCCGCCGCCGCCGCCGCTGGGCCGCTCCGGGGTGCGCCCCTCGGGGCCTGTGAGGAGGAGAGGAGGAGGAGGAGGAGGAGGAGAGGCGCCTCTCCTCCGCGCTCCGGCGGGCTTTCCCTCCCTGCCTTCGACGCCGCGGGTTTCGACGACGGAGAAGGAGAAGGAGGTGAGGGGAGGCCCCGCCCCCTTCGCGGAGGGAGGGAGGCAGGGAAGAGGGAACAGCCCCGTCGCCTAAGCAACGGAGGGAGGCAGGGAGGGGCGGCTCTGCCCTTTTCGCTCCTGCCCCACGCCCCGCCCACTCCAGCCCCGGTGGGCGGGGCCTGCGCGCCTGGGAAAGGAGGGCGGGGCTTCCCTGCCTGGACTCACTCCTCCCTCCCATTGAAAGGGAGCCATTCCATATTGGATTATAAGGGTTATCGATATAGAAATAGATTATCGTTTTTGTATTGTAATATCAGTAGATAAATAAATGGCTCCTCCCAGGGGAAATCCAGACTGAAAACAATCCAGGGGACAGTTAACGCCTCCCTAGAAGAGGGTGCCTCCAGGCAACAACAGCCAGGTTAACTGGTTTCGTTTTTGTGTTATATTATCAGTAGATAAATAAATGGCTCCTCCCCGGGGAACTCCAGACTGAAAACAATCCAGGGGACAGTTAACGCCTCCCTAGAAGAGGGTGCCTCCAGGCAACAACAGCCAGGTTGCCTCTACGCAGGTACCCTCACTGGTTGACTCTGTATCTGCATGGCAACTCAATGCTAATCAGGCTTGCTCATAGTAAATAGTGAGCACCTCTCAGAAAGAGGGAACTCCAGACTGCAAACAATCCAGGGGCCAGTTAACACCTCCCTAGAAGAGGGTGCCTCCAGGCAACAACGGTCAGGTTGCCTCTATGCAGATACCCTCACTGGTTGACTCTACAGCTAATCAAGCTTGCTCACAGTAGATAGTGAACACCACTGGGAAAGAGAGGAACTCCAGACTGAAAACAACCAGGGGCCAGTAAACACCTCCCTAGAAGAGGGTGCCTCTGTCCAGATATAAATGGCTCCTCCCAGGGGAACTCTAGACTAAAAACAACCTAGGGGCCAGTTAACGCCTCCCTAGAAGAGGGTGCCTCCAGGCAACAACAGTCAGGTTGCCTCTTTGCAGATACCCTCACTTTTTTATTCTCTAGCTTCATGGCAACTCAGTGCTAATCAAGGTTGGTCACAGTAAATATTTATTATTTATTTATTTATGTATTTATTTACTTTGCTTATATACCGCTGTTCTCAGCCCAGGGGCGACTCACAGCGGTGTACAACATAGGAACAACAAAATTCAAGACATAGTATAAAAACAATTTTGGCCCCAGAGTGGCCGTTGGTGTTGGGGGAGGGACGCTGATGTCACAGGGGACAAGTGAGCACCTCTCAGAAAGAGGGGAACTCCAGACTGCAAACAATCCAGGGGCCACTTAACACCTCCCAAGAAGAGGGTGCCCCCAGGCAACAACAGCCAGGTTGCCTTTATGCAGAGACCCTCACGGGTTGACTCTGCATCTGCATGGCAATGCTTATCAAGTTTGCTCACAGTAAATCATGAACACTATTCGGAAAGGGGGGAACTCCAGACTGAAAACAATCCAGGGGCCAGTTAACACCTCCTTAGAAGAGGGTGCCCCCAGGCAACAACAGCCAGGCTGCCTCTATGCAGATAACCTCACTGGTTTACTCTGCAGCTAATCAGGCTTGCTCACAGTAAATAGTGAACAGACTGGGAAAGAGGGGAACTCCAGACTGCAAACAATCAAGGGCCAGTTACCTCCCTAGAAGAGGGTGCCTCTGGGCAACAACAGTTAGGATGCCTCTATGCAGATACCCTCACTGGTTGACTCTGCAGCTAATCAAGCTTGCTTACAGTCAATAGTGAACAGACTGGGAAAGAGGGGAACTCCAGACTGCAAACAATCAAGGGCCAGTTACCTCCCTAGAAGAGGGTGCCTCTAGGCAACAACAGTTAGGATGCCTCTATGCAGATACCCTCACTGGTTGACTCTGCAGCTAATCAAGCTTGCTTACAGTCAATAGCACCTCTCAGAAAGAGGAGAACTCCAGACTGCAAACAATCAAGGGCCAGTTAACACTTTCCTAAAAGAGGGTGCCTCCAGGCAGCAACAGCCAGGCTATCTATGCAGATACGTCACTGGTTGCTTCTCTAGCTTCCTGACTACTCAATGCTAATCAAGCTTGCTCATGACAACATCCATGATGGCTTCAAACAGACCAGAGTTCTTTCTCTCACCCTGGACATCATGGCACTTGCCTCATTTCAAACAGAAACGCAATAATAATCCATATATAAATAAATAAATATAAATAAACGTAATAGTTAGGATCCCAGGATGAACCCCTGAATTGCTTGGCTCTTTTTACTCCACCTTCAGTATGAACATTTACCATCATCATCATCATCATCACCTATTTCCATGTTTCACCGAAACTCAAGCATCATCAAATATAGTGCTTCAATTCTGGGAGAAAAAAACTCCAACTTTCATACAATTTTTTTTTAGAATTTGCTTTGCCTGCAGCACCAATGTTATACTGTCAGCATGAGTATGTATTATAAAGACAAACTAATACACAAAATATACACACAAAAGTGTGTGGTGGGGGCTCCTTCTTTGGAAGCTTTTAAACAGGGTCTGGATGGCCATCTGTCAGGGGTGATTTGAATACAATATTCCTGCTTCTTGGCAGGATGGGGTTGGACTGGATGGCCCATGAGGTCTCTTCCAACTCTTTGATTCTATGGAAAGCAAAATAATAATAATAATTAATAATTTTATTTCCTACCCGCCTCTCCTCATGGCTCGAGATGGGCTGCAGAATAATCAGAGCACATGAACATTGTAAAAATGGCACAAAACACATACTAAAACGTATTTGTTAGATGTAGATATAGATGGACTGTTTTCAAGCCAGATGTCACCCAGCCTGTATCCTGTGCATTTTATTCTTATTGCCAGAGTGTAGTACTATGCTTTTCTCCCAATCAATTTGTCCATCTTAATTGATTCACAGATTCTTGTTAGTAATTGCTGTAGGCTCTAGAGCAGATGTTTTGGCCTTCAATTCCCAGAAATCCTAAGGGCTGGTAAACTAGCTGGGATTTCTGGGAGTTGTAGGCCGAAACACCTGGGGAGAACTATAGGTTGAGAACCACTGACCTAGACATTTCCATTCAATTCCGTTGTACATTCGTAAACAACATTCAATACAAAATGATGTGCATTGTACAGATACTTAAACTCACCATCTAGGCCTGAACAAGTATCATTTCCTTTGCCATATGAGTAAACAAATAAACAAATTTATTTATTTACTATATTTGTATGCCGCCTTTCTCAACCCACAGGTGGACTCAAGGCGGTTTACAGAGGCAAAATTCAATGCCCAAGAACATCATAAAACATTTAAGACAATTAAAAACAATAAAATAAATAACACAAACGTCATATCCAAAATCCCCGACCAATGAGGCTGTATTGTTTTCCCTTGTCGCTCTCTAAAATGTATTTCATGGAAACTGATCAATATGAATAACATTTCGATCTTTTAATTTCCCCTCTTAGCACCCTAATTTCCATTGATAATTTGCCATTTAAAGCTACCTTCTTTGCGATTATAACCCTCGCCACTGACTTTTCTAAAACATTCCAAACCATTTTGATATCTTGAGCCGTAAGCATGTCTGTATTAATGAAGGACCTGTCGAAGGCTTTCATCGCTGGAATCGTTGTAGGTTTTTTCGGGTTGTATGGCCATGTTCTAGAAGCATTCTCTCCTGATGTCTCACAACCTCTGAGGATGCTTGCCATAGATGCAGGCAAAACGTCAGGAGAGAATGCTTCTAGAACATGACCTTGTAGCCCGAAAAACCTACAACTACCCAATGAAGGACCTGTTTGCTTCAGCAGGTGCCAAACCCTTTGGAGCGTGGCGATGGTGTGCTAGCGGTGGGAGCGAGCGCCCAGCGTCCACGATGCCGGTGCAGGCGGCACAGTGGACGGAGTTCCTCTCCTGCCCGATCTGCTACAACGAGTTCGACGAGAACGTGCACAAGCCAATCAGCTTAGGCTGCTCCCACACCGTCTGCAAGACCTGCCTGAATAAGCTGCACCGCAAGGCCTGCCCGTTCGACCAGACAGCCATCAACACCGACATCGACGTGCTTCCTGTCAACTTTGCACTCCTCCAGTTAGTTGGAGCTCAGGTAAGCAGTGCATGCTAGGAGTAGTAGTATTAGTACTACTAATAATAATAATAATAATTTTATTTATTTATTTACGACATTTATATGCCATCCTCCTCACCCCAAAGGGGACTCAGAGCGGCTTACAAATAAAATATAAATACAATATATTATGTATTGTCGAAGACTTTCATGGCTGGAATCACTAGGTTCTTGTGGGTTTTTTCGGGCTATAGGGCCATGTTCTAGAGGCATTCTCTCCTGACGTTTCGCCTGCGTCTATGGCATCTATGGCAACCATCCTCACTACCTCTGAGGATGCTTGCCATAGATGCAGGCGAAACGTCAGGAGAGAATGCCTCTAGAACATGGCCCTATAAAAACCCACTAGAACAATATATTATATTATTACCATAGCACAATATTAATATTATATAGTACATTACATCTATATAAATAAAAATGTAGTGTTTGTTTGTGGGATTAACAGAACTCAAAAACCACTGGACGAATTTACACCAAATTTGGACACAAGACACCTAACAACCCAATGTATGTCCTTCACACAAAAAAATGATTTTGTCATTTGGGAGTTGTAGTTGCTGGGATTTATCGTTCACCTACAAAGAGCATTCTGAACCCCACCGACAATAGAATTGGACCAAACTTGGCAGTTCTCCCATGACCAACAGAAAATACTGGAAGGGTTTGGTGGGCAGTGTCCTTTGGTTTTGGAGTTGTAGTTCACCTACATCCAGAGATCACTGTGCACTCAAACAATGATGGATCTGGACCAAACACTACACAAAAACTCAATCTGCCCAAATGTGAACACTGGTGGAGTTTGGGGGAAATAGAATCTTGACATTTGGGAGTTGTAGTTGCTGGGATTTATAGTTCACCTACAATCACAGAGCATTCTGAACCCCACCAACGATAGAATTGGGCCAAACCTCCCACACAGAACCCCCATGTGCGCCATAGCAACACGTGGCAGGGGACGGCTAGTTGTATTATAACATACTGTAATATTATTAGTAATATTACATGTATATAAATATATAATTATATTATTATTAATAGTAGTATTATATTCTATTATAGTATAATAGTATCAATATTATATGTATATATATTATATTATATTATATTATATTATATTATATTATATTATATTATATTATATTATATTATATTATATTAAGCATAGTGCAGGAGACAAGATGTAATTGCCTTCCTGACCCCTCTCTTCACTCTGATCTCAAAGCAGTGGTTGGTGCTGGAGGCGGGGGGCAAGGTATAACTGCCTTCCTGGCCCCTCTCTTGACTATTCCACCCTTCTCCCCAAGGGGACTCAACTGTAACAACTGTCCCCTCTGCTTTGCAGGTCCCCGATCACCAGACCATCAAACTCAGTCATTTAGGAGAGAACAAGCACTATGAGGTGGCAAAGAAGTGTGTCGAGGATCTGGCGCTTTATTTAAAGCCGCTGAGCGGAGGCAAAGGTAAGTTCCCATGCAAAAGGGTACGAGGGGCCCTTGCTCCTTTAGAATAGGCATGGGCAGACTTGGGCCCTCCCTCCAGGAGTTTTGCACTTCAACTCCCACAATTCCCAACAGCCAGGAGAGTAGCCAAGTGTCGTTGTGATCCCTAGGTTGTGCCAGTCATACGATATTATTTCTAGCACCCACTTTTTGCTTGATGTTCAGGCAGTGCTTCTTGTAAGTCAGAGCACGGTCCAGTGTGACTCCCAGGGATTTGGGTGTGCTGCAATGCTCCAGTGGGATTCCCTCCTTCCCAGGTCATCCTCAGAGCTTGAGATGTGGGCCTGCTTTTAAGGTGAAAAGCACATTTCTGTGTTTTAGATGGATTAGGGATCAGCTGGTTTTCCATGTAATAGGCAGTAAGAGCACCTAGAGCTTTGTAGAGCGTCTGTTCAACCCTTTCAAAGCTCCCTGCTTGAGCGGTGATGGCACGATCATCATCGTAGATGAACCTCTCTGTCCCTCCTGGCAGTGGCTGGTCATTTGTGTCAATGTTAAATATGGATGGAGCAGGCATGCTCTCCTGGGGGAGGCCATTCTTATGTCTTCACCATCTGCTTCTCTGAGCCTGGAACTCAACAGTTCTATTATGTTCTGTCTTGTCGTGATATTATCTGTTTTGTTTTATTTTGCATATGTTATTCATTGTATTTACTTACGTTGTATTTACTTATGAGTCCTTCAAGGAGGAGATGGGGCAGCAGCCTTCCAGACACAAGTGTATTCAACTCCCATCAGCTCTAGTCATTTATTTATTTATTTCAGTTACTTCTACCCCGCCCTTCTCACCCCCGAGGGGGGACTCAGGGCGGCTTACAAGGGAAGGCACAAATTCGATGCCTATATCAAATATACATACATACATAAAAGCAGTTAAACAATCAACAGGTTAAAAACATAAGTACATAACAGAATAGTAAACAATCTCATGCTCAGTGTTCAGAGTTCCATAGGTCCATTCCGTTCCGTCAATTCCTGCCCATCATCAAGGTCTTTTCTTAGCTGCCAGACTGTCCAAAAGCCTGGTCCCACATTCAGGTCTTCAATTTTCTTCTGAATGAAAAAAAGGAAGTCGCTGATCTAATCTCCTCGGGGAGTGAGTTCCACAGGTGGGGGGCCACCACCGAGAAGGCCCTGCTCCTCATCCCCGCCAGCCTCACTTGTGATAGAGGCAGGGTCGAGAGCAGGGCCTCCCCAGAAGATCTTAAACTCCGAGGTGGGACGTAGAGGGAGATCCATTCGGACAGATACACTGGGCCGGAACCGTATAGGGTTTTGTAGGTCAAAACCAGCACTTTGAATTGTGCTCGGAATTGGATCGGCAGCCAGTGGAGCTGACACAACAGGGGGGTGGTATGCTCCCTGTATGCCACTCCGGTGAGCAATCTGGCTGCCTCCCGCTGGACTAGTTGGAGTTTCCGAGCAGTCTTCAAAGGCAACCCCACGTAGAGTCATGAGGTCTAATGGTGAGGAAGGCAGGAGTTGCATGCGGTCCAGTATCAGGAGGTCCAGATAAAATGACATGGCGGGCCTGGTTTGGGTTTCAAATCAATACGGGCGCCCTTTTCTTGCTGAAGCCTTCAATGCACCTCTCTGTCTCCTGTTCCTTCCCCTGTAAAGGTGTTGCCAGTTTGAACCAGAGCGCCCTGAGCCGGCCCATGCAAAGGAAGCTGGTCACCCTGGTGAACTGCCAGCTGGTCGAGGAAGAGGGCCGGGTCCGGGCCATGCGGGCGGCCCGCTCTCTCGGGGAACGGACCGTGACCGAGCTGATCCTGCAGCACCAGAACCCCCAGCAGCTCTCGGCCAACCTTTGGGCCGCCGTCCGGGCGCGAGGCTGCCAATTTCTCGGACCAGGTAAGCCCTGAGCGGAACGAGCAGAGAGACAGGGCACGATCTCATTGTCTATGTGGTGCAGCTTTTCTTAATTCAGAATGAAGCAGGACTTTCCTTGGTTCCTTGCATGGCTGTCTCCCTTGACCAGGCATGGGCCAACTTGGAACTTCAACTCCCACCATTCCTAACAGCCGAAAGCCCTTTCCTTTTCCCCCTCAGCTGCATAAGTCCCTATTTTGCACAATCTAATGCCATCTTTACCCCACTTAAAGACATGAAAACGTACAGACATGCTCAGTCTCCAAGGCAGCCTTGAAGACCATGCCGTCTTCCAAGTATCTCTGAATCCCTCTGGAGTCCCACTCAAAATGGTGACAGAAAGTGACACAATGCTGAATCCCTGTTGCTGTTTTGAGATTTTATTTTATTTTTATTTTTTATGACAATTATATGCCACCCTTCTCACCCCAAAGGGGACTCAGAGCAGTAATATGTAAATACAATATGTAAATACAAGTAATATGTAAACACAATCTATATATATATAAAAATGCTCTGTGCATAATGAGTACCTTAAAAACAAAAGAACCAATTAATTAAATCACACCAAATTTGGCAAAAAAAGTCTCACAACACAAGGAGTGACCATCACTCAAAAATTATGATTTTGTCATTTGGGAGTTGTAGTTGCTGGGATTTATAGTTCACCTACAATCAAAGAGCATTCTGAACTCCACCAACGATAGAGTTGAACCAAACTTGGCACACAGAACTCCCACGACCAACAGAAAATACTGGAAGGGGTTGGTGGGCATTGGCCTTGAGTTTTGGAGATGTAGTTCACCTACTTCCAGAGGGCACTGTGGACTCAAAACTATGATGGATCTGGACCAAACTTGGCACGAATACTCAATATGCCCAAATGTGAACACAGATGGAGTTTGGGGGAAATAGACCTTGACATTTGGGAGTTGTAGTCACTGGGATTCACAGTTCACCTACAATTAAAGAACATTCTGAACCCCACGAACGACAAAATTGGGGCAAACTTCCCACACAGAACCCTCATGACCAACAGAAAATACTTAAGGTCATCCAATCCAACCCCCTTAATCAGGGCAAGAAAACATAATCAAAGCCCTCCTGACAAAGAGCCATCCAGCCATAGATGTAGATAGATATATATGATTCACACACAGATAGAGTATCATAGATTTGAAAGGGACCCCTCAAGAAGGACAATGATCTGTTGCATGTTCCAGAGTAGGCAAACCAGACAATCTCCACATGACCAAGAAACAGCAAGAAATGCTGTTTACCCACAAGCAGAAAGAAATTACATATGTTAGAAAGCAACACTTTCTCATTACTTTATTTTCCAGATCAACAGACTGGGCCACAGCAATGCATGGCAGGGGATGGCTAGTATATTATATTATTACCATAACACAATATTAGTGGACTGGAGAGGAATACTGGGCTATTTATTTGCTTTGGGGGCGCCTCGGGGACCCTGACGCCTGCCTTTGGCTTTCTAGCGATGCAGGAAGAAGCCCTGAAGCTGGTGCTCCTGGCCTTGGAGGACGGCTCGGCCCTCTCCCGGAAAGTTCTGGTGCTTTTTGTGGTCCAGAGACTGGAGCCGAGGTTCCCGCAGGCCTCCAAAACCAGCATTGGCCATGTGGTGCAGCTGCTCTATCGCGCATCGTGCTTCAAGGTGTGGACACCTCTGCACTCCCCCCCCCCCCCAGTGCTTTCTGTTGTTTTGTCACTTGTCTGCTCCCATTTACATGCTGGTTATGTATGGGACCTTAGAAGACTTTTGTGCCAATGCATCCAGAAATGGTATTGGCAGTGAGATGGCCGAGTGGGGTTGGGCTTGGGTGGGCCCGGGGGTCTCTCCCAGCAATAGGATCCTATGCGCTCGATCCCCTAGGTCACCAAAAGGGACGAGGATTCCTCCCTGATGCAGCTCAAGGAGGAGTTCCGCAGCTACGAGGCCTTGCGGAGGGAGCACGACGCGCAGATCGTCCACATTGCCATGGAAGCCGGGCTCCGGATCTCGCCAGAGCAGTGGTCCTCCCTCCTCTACGGAGACCTGGCCCACAAGTCCCACATGCAGTCCATCATCGACAAGGTCAGCCCCACGTCCAAGGCCTTTGCCTTTTGGTCTGGTCTGGAAAGGGATGTCTCGTGATGAACTTGCATAGGGCAGATTCTGAGCTGAAAGGCACCGCCTTCTCACGCTGATCTTCCGTTTATGCTGCCTGAAGACGTCCCCGTTTTATTCACAGACCATTCTCTCCTTCCTTCCTTCCTTCCTTCCTTCCTTCCTTCCTTCCTTCCTTCCTTCTTTCTTCATTTTACTAACATATATACCTGCCATTGTCCAAGTGTCAAAGGGTCTACTGCCCCCCCTCACCACTTGCATCTATCTTTCTTTCTTTCTTCCCTCTCTCCCTCCCTTCCTCCCTTCCTTCCTTTCTTCCTTCCTTCCTTCCTCCTCTCATAGAATCATAGAATCTAAGAGTTGGAAGAGACCTCATGGGCCATCCAGTCCAACCCCCTGCCAAGAAGTCCTTCCTTTCTTTTCTTCCTTCCCTTCTTCCTTCCCTCCTTTTCTCCTCCTTTTCCCTCCTTTCTCTTCCTTTCCCTTCTTTTCTTCCTCTCTCTTTCCCCCTCTTTCCTTCCTTTCCTCCTTCCTCCTCTTCCTCCTTCCTTTGCCTTTTCCCCTTTCTTTTCCCTCTCTTCTTCCCTTCCTCCCTTCCTTCCTTCCCTCACTTTTTTCTTTTTCCAATCCTTTCCCTTCCTTCCTTCCTTTTTTCCTCTTCTCATGCCTCTTTCCCTTTCTTTTCCCTCTTGTCCTTCCTTTGTTTCCTTCCCTCCTTCCCCCCCCTCTCTTCGTTTTCTTATATTTTCTCTTCCTCCTCCCTCCCTCCTCTTCTTCCTTTTCTCCCCTTCTTTCTTTCCTTCTTTCTTCCCCTTTCTTCACACTTTCCTTGCTTTTTTTCCTTTCTTCCTTCCTTCCTTCCTTCCTTCCTTCCTTCCTTCCTTCCTTCCTTCCTTCCTCCTCTCAAACCTTTTCCCCTTTCTTTTCCCTTCCTCCCTCCTTTCCTCCCCCCACTTCTCTTTCTTTTCCCATTCTTTCGCTTCCATTCTTTCTTTCATACTTTCTCTCCTTCTTTTTCTCTTCCTTCCTTCCCTATCCCCTATTTTTTCTCTTCCATTCTTGCTCTTTTTTCTTTCTTCCTTCCACTTCCCTCCTTTTTCTCTCTTCCTTTTTCCCTTCTTTCTTTCCTGTCTTCCCTTCTCTTTCCTCTGCTCCCCTCATACATTTTCACCTTTTCTTCCTTCCTTCTTTCATTCCCCTTTCCTTTCTTTCTCACCTTTTCCCCTTTCATTCTCTCCTTCCTCCTCCCCTTTCCCCGCATAAACAGGTCACCTTTCTTTTCCAATGGCATCACAGAAGGCCACTTCACCTACAGATGTACTACAGACATCTGAAACCACTTTGAATCTCTTTGGAGGGAGAAAAAGTGGGATGATGAAGATGATAGTAATAATAATGATAATGATAATAATATAACATATTTGAAGATATTTTGAATCTAATAATAATAATAATAATAATAATAATAATAATAATACACATCTGAAGGTGATTTGAGTGTCCTTTTCAGCAGAAAAAGCAGGATAATAATAATAATAATAATAATAATAATAATAATAATAGTAATCAAGCATCCTTTTCTGCCTTTAGCTTCAGTCCCCAGAATCCTTTGCCAAAAGCGTGCAGGAACTGACCATCGTTCTGCAGCGGACAGGCGACCCTGCAAATCTGAACAGGCTCCGTCCCTATTTGGAGCTTTTGGCCAACATCGACCCCAATCCCGGTACGTGAACTGTTTTTGCGGGAGGGAGAGCCTGAGAGAGCAAGATGGCGTGGGCATCCCTTTCTTTTCTCCTTTTTGTCAAGAAGAAGGAAGGTCCTTTGGATGATTCTCCATCATTCTTTTAGGGTGGTTTCATAGATTGTAAACTGTGCGCATGCCGCAGGGAATCGGGACACGCTTTTAGTCATGAGAAAGCCCCCAAGAACTTGCAGACCCATGGCTTTCTTGATTGTGTCCCATTTGTGTCCCCCCCCCCCCCTTTTCCCCACAGACGCTGCGTCTCCAACGTGGGAACAGCTGGAAAACGCCATGGTGGCTGTGAAGACGGTGGTCCATGGGTTAGTGGACTTCATCCAGAACTACAGCCGGAAAGGCCACGAAACCCCCCAGGTGAGCGGAATCAGAAGCCAAAGGTGCTCTCTCTCCTTGGAACTTAACCTGTCTCTGGAAATTCTGGAATTGAGATGTGGAGCATTTATTTTTTATATTTTATTGATTTTATTGTTTATGGATTTTTATGGATTTTATATGCTTTTAACTGTTTATATTGGAGCCCCTGGTGGTGCAGTGGGTTAAACCCCTGTGCCGGCAGGACTGAAGACTGACAGGTCGCAGGTTCGAATCCGGGGAGAGGCAGATGAGCTCCCTCTATCAGCTCCAGCTCCTCATGCAAAGGGGACATGAGAGAAGCCTCCCACAAGGATGATAAAAACATCAAATCATCCGGGCAACGTCCCCTGGGCAACGGCCTTGCAGACAACCAATTCTCTCACACCAGAAGCGACTTCAAGTTTCTCAGGTCGCTCCTGACACGACAAAAAAAAAAAAACAACAAAGCTGTTTATAATATTGTGGCATCAAATTGTGCCGTTTTGCAAACCGCCCTGAGTTTGCATTGTTGTATTGCTGGGCTTGGCCTCATGAGATGTTGGTGGGGTATAAATAAAGATTATTATTATTATATCTTATTTTCTTATATTTTATTGTTGTATTTTTATGTTGTTGATTTGCATTATTGTATTGCTGGGCTTGGCCTCATGTAAGCCGCCCCGAGTCCCCTTTGGAGAGATGGTGCTGAGGTTTAAATAAAGATTATTATTATTATTATTATTATTATTATTATTATTATTATTATATCTCATTTTCTTATACTTTATTGTTGTATTTTATGTTGTAGATTTGCATTGTTGTATTGTTGGCCTTGGCCTCATGTAAGCCGCCCTGAGTCCCCTTTGGGGAGATGGTGGTGGGGTATAAATAAAGATTATTATTATTATTATTATTATTATTATTATTAAAATGCTTGGAGAGCTACAGGGTGAAGAGTCCTGCTTTAGGCTCTGTTGCAGACAGCTGTGGCAAAAACATGACTGACTCCCCTTCCCTTTCTTGTCTCCCTCCGAAGCCCCAACCGAACAGCAAATACAAAACAAGCATGTGCCGCGACCTGCGACAGCAAGGCGGGTGCCCGCGGGGGACCAACTGCACTTTTGCTCACTCGCAGGAGGAGCTGGAGAAGTAAGTGTGGGGTCAGAAAAGTGGGGAAACTGGGACTGGATGGAATGCAAAGAGACAGAATGGGGGGAGGACGCCTGGCTCGAGAGCAGTATGTGTGGAAAAGTTTTTGGAGTTCTTATGGACAAAAAGTTATTGTGGCATTGTGCACCGGGATTGTGGTGCACCTGGCTGAGTGTCAGCTGCATTAAGATCACTCTGACCAAAAAGGTAATGAGTTCGAAGCCAGCCCGGGTTGGAGTGGGTTTCCAACCAATTGTGTGTAGCCTGTTGTCGACCTTTGCAACCCGAAAGACAGTTGCATCTGTCAAGTAGGAAAATAAGGTACCACCTTAAAGTGTGGGGAGGCTAAATTAACTGATTTATGAGGCCATAAAGAAGACTCCAGCAAAGCATTCCAGCGGGGAAGCATGCGGGGAATGCAGAAGTGCTTCATCAGTGTCGCAGATGGACAATGAAAGCAACAGCTCCCAAGTTAAATAGTCTCTGTGTATGTCTGTATATGTTTGTATGTCAAAAATTGGCATTGAATGTTTGCCATATATGTGTATGCTGTAATCCGCCCTGAGTGGGAAGGGCGGAATATAAAAGCTGTAAATAAACAAACAAACAAATAAATAAATAAATAGTTCCACCCCTCGAAGAGCTCATCCAAAGCCCGGAGACAATGGGACTGAGCTGTCTTTGGACACTTTCTCCCAGCGACTGTTTGGGGATAACCTCTTCCCTTTCTCAACCGACAGGTATCGGCTTCGGAACAAGAAGATCACCGCCACCGTCCGGACCTTCCCTCTGCTGGGCAAAGCAACTGTCACCAGCCCCATCTCCACAGCGGCGGGGAACGTCCTTTCCATTATGGGGAGCCCTGAAGCAGCTGGGAAGCTGGCGCCCAGCACCAACGGTATTGGGGGCCTGGAAGGGGGCGGCCTGCCCCAGCTGGTGCCCCGGTGTGCCGAGGCCGCCTCTGCCTTGAGGACTCTGGAGAGCGCCAAGAAGGCCGGGAAGGCCGGCACCAACGGGCAGAACGCCTCCATTTCCCCTTCGGACCCCCTGCCGGAAAGGTAGGCGTCTTGAGTGCAGGTGGCCCTTCTCCTGTGGGGCCCTTCACTTTGTTTGGGGTCTGGGGAGACCACTCTGGGACCATTTCCCCTCAGACCCAAACCTTCCCAACAGGAGTTGTTTACTTCGTGCTTGGGAAAATACCTTGTGCTTCAAGTTCTGGTGAGGGTATACGATCCGAAAAGAAACGTACAGTGTGACCCTTGCTTGGTGGGTCTCAAAATTCAGCATTGTATTGTCGAAGGCTTTCACGGACAAAATCACTGGGTTGTTGTGAGTTTTCCGGGGTGTATGGCCATCCTCCAGAAGCATTCTCTCCTGACGTTTCGGCTGCATCTATGGCAGGCATCCTCAGAGGTTGTGAAGTCTGTTGGAAACTAGGAACATGGGGTTTATATATCTGTGGAATAGTGTTCAGATTGGGAGAAATAACTCTTGTCTGTTGGAGTATTATAATATTATAATTAATATATTTCATGCTTATGTCTGTGTTTGATGTTTTTATAGCTTTAACGGTTTTTATCTGCAGTTATTTGTTATTGATTTAGATATGTGATATTTATATATGTGTGTGTGTGTGTGTGTGTGTGTGTGTGTGTGTGTGAGGCATTGAATTTGCCATTTATTATGTTGTAAACTGCTTTGAAGTCCCCCCAGGGGTGAGAAAAGCAGTATAGAAATGTAGTTAATAAATAATAAAAAAATAATTCTCTCGTGACGATTCGCCCGCATCTATGGCAGGCATCATCGGAGGTTGTGAGGTCTGTTGGAAACTAAAAACATGGGGTTTATATATCTGTGGAATAGTGTCCAGAGAGGGAGAAAGAACTCTTGTCAGTTGGAGTATTATAATATTATAATTAATAATATTATCAGTGTGATTTGCCCTCTTCCTTCCTCCTATTGCTAGTTAAATAAAACTGGGTTGCTGTGTGTTTTCTGGGCTGTAAGGCCGTGTTCCAGAAGCATTCTCTCCTGACGTTTCGCCTACATCTCCGGCAGGCATCCTCAGAGGTTGTGAAGTCTGTTGGAAACTAAGAAAATGGGGTTTATATACCTGTGGAATAGTGTCCAGAGTGGGAGAAAGAACTCTTGTCTGTTGGAGTATTATAATATTATAATTTATAATATTATCAGTGTGATTTGCATCCTGCCCTTTTCTTTTCTCCTACTATTACTGCTTAAATAAAACTGGGTTGCTGTATGTTTTCTGGGCTGTAAGGCCGTGTTCCAGAAGCATTCTCTCCTGACGTTTCGCCTACATCTCCGGCAGGCATCCTCAGAGGTTGTGAAGTCTGTTGGAAACTAAGAAAATGGGGTTTATATACCTGTGGAATAGTGTCCAGAGTGGGAGAAAGAACTCTTGTCTGTTGGAGTATTATAATATTATAATTAATAATATTACAATTTATAATATTATCAGGGTGATCTGCATCCTGCCCTCTTCCTTCCTCCTATTACTACTTAAATAGTGTTTTCTGGGCTGTAAGGCCATGTTCCAGAAGCATTCTCTCCTGGCCTTTCGCCCACATCTATGGCAGGCATCCTCAGAGGTTGTGAAGTCTGTTGGGAACTAGGAACATGGGGTTTATATATCTGTGGAATATTGTCCAGGGTGGGAGAAATAACTCTTGTCTGTTGGTGTGTTATAATATTGTAATTAATAATATTATAATGAATAATATTATAATGAATAATATAATAATAATATTACAATTTATAATATTATCAGGGTGATTTGCATCCTGCCCTCTTCCTTCCTCCTATTACTAGTTAAATAAAACTGGGTTGCTGTATGTTTTCTGGGCTGTAAGGCCATGTTCCAGAAGTATTCTCTCCTGACATTTCGCCTGCATCTCTGGCAGGCATCCTCAGAGGTTGTGAGGTCTGTTGGAAACTAGGCAAGTGGAGTTTACATATATCCCTGTGGAATAATGTCCAAGGAGGGGGAAGTTCAGCATTTCTATTGTATGGAGATCGATTTGTTTTAGTTCTCTCTTGAGCAGGACTTGCAGGTAGGTGCCTTCTGGCAAAATGGGTGGTCTTCCAGGTAGTAGCAAATTGACAAAGCACCAGGTTTGAGGAGTTTGCCATCTTGTGTAGTTGCAGAGTGGGCTCCTTGTCACTGATTTTACCCAAGGCTAGTTCACAGAATGAAATGCTTGAACAGGGCCCGTGCCTGGAAGCTCGGGATTTCTTCCCTATGGCGGTGACCTCAGTTAGGAAACCTGCTACAAAACAGGAGCTTTTTTGTTGAGTTCCAGGGCCAGAGAAGCAGATGGCGGAAACAGAAGAACGCCCTGCCTCAGGGGAGCGTGCTTGCTCCATCCATGTTCAACATCTACACAAATGACCAGCCACTGCCAGAAGGGACAGAGAGCTTCATCTATGCTGATGATCGTGCCATCACCGCTCAAGCAGGGAGCTTTGAGATGGTTGAACAGAAGCTCTCCGAAGCTCTAGGTGCTCTACTGCCTATTACAGGGAAAACCAACTGATCCCTAACCCATCTAAAACACAGACATGTGCCTTTCACCTTAAGAACAGACAAGCATCCCGAGCTCTGAGGATTATTACCTGGGAAGGAATCCCACTGGAGCATTGCAGCGCACCCAAATACCTGGGAGGAGTCACTCTGGACCGTTCTCTGACCTACAAGAAGCACTGCCTGAACATCAACAAAAAGTGGGTGCTAGAAACAATATCATACGAAAGCTGACTGGCACAACCTGGGGATCACAACCAGACACAGTGAAGACATCTGCCCTTGCACTGCTACTCTGCTGCTGAGTATGCATGCCCAGTGTGGAATACATCTCACCACACTAAAACAGTGGATGTGGCTCTTAATGAGACATGCCGCATTATCACAGGGTGTCTGCGCCCTACACCACTGGAGAAATTACACTGCTTATCCGGCATTGCACCACCTGACATCCGCCGGGAAGGAGCAGCCAATAGTGAAAGGACCAAGGCAGAGACATCTCCAGCTCATCCCCTGTTTGTGTATCAGCCAGCACGTCAACAACTTAAATCAAGAAATAGTTTTCTTAGATCTACAGAGACACTCGCTGGAACACCTCAGCAAGCGAGAGTCCAAAAGTGGCAGGCTCAAACCCAGAACCTCAATCCATGGCTGATACCAAATGAGAGACTCCCCCCTGGGCACACAGAAGACTGGGCGACTTGGAAGGCGCTGACAGACTGCGCTCTGGCACCACAAGATGCAGAGCCAACCTTCAGAAATGGGGCTACAAAGTGGAATCCTCGACATGCGAGTGTGGAGAAAAGCACACCACTGACCACCTGCTGCAATGCACCCTGAGCCCTGCCATGTGCACCATGGAGGACCTTCTTGCGGCAACACCAGAGGCACTCCAAGGGGACAGATACTGGTCAAAAGACATTTAACCAACTACCAAGTTTGCAAAATTTGTGTTGTTTTTTTTTATCTGTTTGTTTTGTTCTGTTAGAAATGTAATACAATGTTCTGGTTGCGGATGACACGATAAATAAATAAAAATAACCTCAATTGAATTCATGTCCCTCTTCTTTTTTTCTCCCCCAGTAAAATCGGTTCTCCGCCCAAGACGCCCGTCAGCCAAGCAGCAGCTACCTCAGGAGGGCCTCCTCCTCCGCCTCCTCCGCTTCCGCCCCTTGGGACAGAGATGAGCCCCGTCGTCCCCAAGCCCGGCCTCTTTGCCGCCCGGGTGCCCCTCTACCCGCCCCACTCGGACGGCCTGCCCTACTTCCAAGACCCCCGCGCCCACCTCCCCTACGAGGCCTCGCAGTTCCCGCAGGCAGGTGAGCGGCAGACCTCCCTCCCTTTGGCTTCGAGTGCTTTAGCCGGGGCCGGTCTCACTGTCGCCGCCTTTTTTACACACTCCCTTTAAAGGAAATACCCCCAAAGGGGGCTCAGGGTCGATCACAATGTATACATACACGGCAAACATTCATTGTGTTTTGAGACATACAAGACATACAGACAGATAGAGGTAATTCAGCATTGTTTCCAACTTTGGCTCCTGGAGGTTGCTCGATTCCAACCACAAGGGGGAGCTGTCGCTTCATCCACTCCAGTCGTAGTATTTCCTCCTTGCTCTTTGATTTCCGGCATTTTTTATGGTGTCATACATTAATCTCCCCGCTTTAAGTGGTCTCTAATTTCTCTACTCACAGCTTAACTGTTTTCGAACTGCTTAGGTCCATGATGGTGAACCTATGACACGTGTGTCAGCACTGACACGCATGGCTATTTTTGATGACACACAGACACATGCGGCCACATACAAAGAAATACACCTTGTAAGAGCCAATCTAATTCCATCCTTAAATTTGTAAAAGGCTCTACAAATTTAACATCTGCACGTTTGAGCATTGTTTACACCATAACTCAGCATGGATTATACATTTTTCTTATTTAAACTATAAATATTGCAAAATTATGGGGGTTTTTTTCTCAAAGCGACACTCCACCCAAGTTATGCTCAGGTTTTTGGCAAATTTTGACACACCAAGCTCAAAAGGTTGCCCATCACTGGCTTAGGTGGACAGTAAGGTGGGCTATTAACAGTCGGGAGCTCAAACCTGACTTGGGCTTCGAACTGGCCACTTTCTGATCGGCAGTGATTTATTGGTGCTAGTGATTAACAGACTGTGCTACATCCAGAATATAGTTACTACTATTATGCAAAGCCCCCCTTCCCATCAAATGAACTATCCTTCTCTGTCTTGGCCCCCTTTTGCAGTCGACCCAGATAACGGGAACAGTACCAAACAAATAAATAAAAAACACTCTAATATGGCATTGTCCTGAGTCACCAAATGGTGCTCACCTAAAAAAGGGCATTGCCACCAACCTGAAATGCTGGCTAATAACAATTATTATTATTATTATTATTATTATTATTATTATTATTATTTATACTCCGCCACCATCTCCCCAATGAGCGGCTTACATGGGGCCAAGCCCGGACAACATATTACAACAAAATAAAACCAGAGCATAAACAATAAACCACATCATCAAATTACATCAAGAAAAAAATAAAGAATTATAAACACGGTCATAAAATGACATTTCTTTATTTATTTATTTACTGTATTTGTATCCCACCTTTCTCAGCCAATTGGCGACTCAAGGCAGTTTCCAACAAATCAGTATACATAGAACATAATATAGATAGAAACATTAAACAATATAAAGCATCACAAAAGCAATAAAAACTATATCATCAGCATCCCATTATTCTCAAGGATTGTCCAGTTCCATTTTCAGGTCATTCGATTTCCTATATTAGCTCCTCTGTATTTGTAAACGCTTGCTCAAACAGCCACGTTTTAACTTGCCTCCAAAACGTCAAGAAGGAGGGAGCAGAGCTGATCTCCCTAGGGAGGGTGTTCCATAGCCGAGAGGCCACCACTGAGAAGGCCCTATCTCTCGTCCCCGCCAAACGTGCTTGTGACGACGGCGGGACCGAGAGCAGGGCCTCCCCAGATGATCTTAAAGACCTCAGTGGTTCATAAGGGAAGAACATTCCAATAGGAAAAGCTCTGCCATAGGCCCCCAGCTGAGTGCTGTTGATGTTCTCCCTGCTGTAGGATACTACCCGCCTCTGCCGACGGTCCCGGCTTGCCTCCCTCGGTTCGTGAGGTCCGGCAACATCCCAGAGCCGCCCCTCCCGCCCGCCTCCGTGCCCTACGGCGACCATTACGGCGCGTTCCCCCCTCGGGACAGGCTGAGCGCGCCTTACCAGCAGCCCCCGCCACAGCCGTACGGAGCCGTGCCCCCCGTCCCCTCCGGGATGTACGCCCCGGTCTACGACAGCCGGCGCATCTGGCGGCCGCAGGTCTACCCCCGGGACGACCTCCTCCGGAGCAGCACCTTACCTCCCGTGGACGTCGTCCACCCCTCCGTCTACCAGACCTTCCTGCGGGAGAGATGCAACTCGCTGGACGGCTACTACTCCGTGGCTTGCCCGCTGCCGGCGGAGCAGAGGACGGTGCCTTCGTCGCGGGTGGGTGCCACGGGGGGCTTTTGTGGGCAGGCGGTCTAGCCTCCGCTGTCTGAGAACATTCCACAAGCATCCCCTTGCATTTGTTGCTTCCCTTTAGGAGCCTTGTGGCCATGTGAAGCCAGCGTACGACGACCCACTCAAGAGGAAGCCGGAGCAGTGGACCCCGTGCCACGCGCAGAAAACGCCTCTCGTGCCGACGCCCTCCGCCCTCCCCACGGCTACGCAGTCCCCGCCACCTCCACCTTCCCCTCTTTTCGGTGTGGACTTCGGCTCTGAGGTAAGGCTCCGGAGACCTGGATAGCGGAAGATCAGACAGGCTCCTCCTTTGACCTCTTTCCAGAGTCAACTAAAAACCTGGATGTTCTGGTGTGCTTTCAATTAAGGATTTTCAATGTGGGATTAACATAATTCAAAAACCACTGGATGAATTGACACCAAATTTGGACACAAAACACCTCTCAAGCCAACAAGTGACCATCACTCATAAAAACACTGAAAAACACAGTGGAAGGGACTTTAAAAACAAAAAAAAAATACATTACAACACCTGCTCAAAACCACACATATACCCAAATACACACACATATATACACATACACATAAATATATGTGTGTATGCATACACACAAAGCATACATACACAGAAAGAGGGGAGGGAGGGAGGACAGAAAGAGGGAAGGAAGGAGGGAAGGAGACAATGAAGGAAAGAAAGGTAGAGAAGGAAATAACAAAGTGAAAGAAGGAAGGAAAGAGAGAGGGAAGGAAGGAAAGAGACAAGGAAGGATGGAACAAAAGAGCTAAGGAAGTGAGAAAAGAAACAGGTAGAGAAGGAAGAAAGAAGAAGGGAAAGGAAAAAAAGGGAAGGAAGGAAGGAAAAAAGAGGGAAAGAAGGAGGGAAGGCGACAAGGAAAGAAAGAAAGGTAGAGATGGAAGGAAGAAGGAAATAACAAAGTGAAGGAAGGAAAGAGAGAGGGAAGGAAGGAAAGAGACAAGGAAGGATGGAACCAAAGAGCAAAGGAAGTGAGAAAAGAAACAGGTAGAGAAGGAAGAAAGAAGAAGGGAAAGAAAAAAGGGAAGGAAGGAAGGAAAAAAAGAGGGAAAGAAGGAGGGAAGGCAAAAAGGAAAGAAAGAAAGAGAAGGAAGGAAGGAGAGAAGGAAATAACAAAGTGAAAGAAAGAAGGAAAGAGAGAGGAAAGGAAGGAGAAGGGAAGAGAGAAAGAGGGGGGAAGGAAGGATGGAACCAAAGAGCAAAGGAAGTGAGAAAAGAAACAGGTAGAGAAGGAAGAAAGAAGGGAAAGAAAAAAGGAAAGAAAGAGAAGGAAGGAAGGAAGGAAGGAAGGAAGGAAGGAAGGAAGGAAGGAAGGAAGGAAGGAGAGAAGGAAGGAGAGAAGGAAATAACAAAGTGAAAGAAGGAAGGAAAGAGAGGGGGAAGGAAGGAGAAGAGAGAAGGGAAGAGAGAAAGAGGGAGGGAAGGAAGGATGGAACCAAAGAGCAAAGGAAGTGAGAAAAGAAACAGATAGAGAAGGAAGAAAGAAGAAGGGAAAGAAAAAGAGGGAGGGAGGGAAAGAGGGAGGGAAGGAAGGAGAGAAAGAAAGAAAGAAAGAGAGAAAGAAGGAGAGAAAGAGGGAGGAAGGTTGGCCACAGCAACACATGGCGGGCACAGCTAGTGCATACATATATACACACATATATATAAATAAAACCCCCACTTGCCTAGTTTCCAACAGACCTCACAACCTCCGAGAACACCTGCCATAGATGTGGGTGAAACGTCCGGAGAGAATACCTCTAGAACATGGCCATACTGCCCGGAAAACTCCCAGCAATGCACTGTCCCATGGGGATTGGTTGGAAACTGTAACGAGTATGTTGGGACCTTGCTGGGCTTTCTGCTCCCTGCAGTTCTGCGAGGGCTCTGGGGATGCGAGTAGCGCCAAGTACGAAGAGGAGCGGCTCTCCCACTACTCGCCCTGGTCCTGCGGCACCATCAGCTCCTGCATCAACGCCATCGAATCGGAGCCCAAGGACGTCATCGCCAACTCGGGCACGGTGCTCTTGGTAAGTCTCATAGAAATAGGAATTTTCTTTTCCTGAAGGTCTAAAACATTTTAATATGGTGGGACTTTATTTATTTATTTACTATATTTATATAGCATCCCTCTCAGCTCACAGGCGACTCGAGGCGGTTCACAGTCGGTACCAAGACCATAAGATCCAATTAAAAACATTAAAATAATATAAAGCCATTGCAAAGTCAATCACTTTCCTGAGATCCTCTTCCTCCCAAACGAGTCCCAGTTGCTCCCCTTTCTCTCCCCCGCAGGACCTTGACAGCGGCGACATGAAGCGTCGGGTGCACCTCTTTGAGGCCCAGAGGCGGGCGAAGGAGGAGGACCCCATCATCCCTTTCGGCGACGGGCCCATCATCTCCAAGTGGGGGGCCATCTCCCGCTCCTCGCGCACGGGGTTCCACACCACCGACCCCGTCCAAGCCACTGCTTCCCAAGGAAGTGCCACCAAGCCCATCAGCATGTCAGGTCTGGCCTGGGGCGGGGGCTATCATTGTATTATTATTACTACTACTACTATTATTATATTACCATATAGCGGTATAGTACAATAAAATAATATATAATAATGATATTGTACTATGATAATAATATAGCTTAGTACAATATCAGTATTATATATTACTGTATAATATATAATAATGATATTGTACTATGCTATATTATTAGCAGTATTATATATTACTATATTGTACTATACCACTATATTGTAATACTGGAGCCCCCGGTGGTGCAGTGGGTTAAAGCACTGAGCTGTTGAGCTTGTTGATTCGATTCCGGGGAACGGTGTGAGCTTCCGCTGTCAGCCCTAGCTTCTGCCAACCTAGCAGTTTGAAAACATGCAAATGTGAGTAGATCAATAGGTACCGGTGGGAAGGTAACGGCGCTCCGTGTAGTCATGCCGGCCACATGACCTTGGAGGTGTCTATGGACAACGCTGGCTCTTCAGCTTAGAAATGGAGATGAGCACCACATCCCAGAGTCAAACACGACTGGACTTAATGTCAGGGAAAACCTTTACCTTTTTAATAATATAATATATTGTATGTATATATATTTTGTAAGCCGCTCTGAGTCCCCTTCGGGGTGAGAAGGGTGGCATATACATACCGTAAATAAACAAATAAATAAATGATGGAATGCAATATAATACTAATACTAATAATGTAATATTATAATATTATAAGGTAGCGCAATATAATACTAACAACAATAATATATTATAATTATATATTTATATTACATGAATCTTACTAATAATATATTACTGATATTGTGCATAATATATTGATGTAAGCTGCTTTGAGTCCTCTTCGGGGTGAGAAGGGCGGCATATACATACTGTAAATAAACAAATAAATAAATGATGTAATGCAATATAATACTAATAATGCAATATTATAATATTATAATGTAATGCACTATAATACTAACAATAATAATATATTATAATTATATATTTATATTTCATGAATCTTACTAATAATATATAATACTGATATTATGCTATGCCAATAATATTGTATGTATATATATCTTGTAAGCCACTCTGAGTCCCCTTCGGGGTGAGAAGGGTGGCTTATAAATGTCGTTAACGAATAAATAAATACCTTTTTTCATGTCAGGAGCAACTTGAGAAACTGCAAGTCGCTTCTGGTGTGAGAGAATTGGCCGTCTGCAATGACATTGCCCAGGGGACATTGCCTGGATGTTTTGATATTTTCCCATCCTTGTGGGAGGCTTCTCTCATGCCCCCTCAATGGGGAGCTGGAGCTGACAGAGAGAGCTCAACCTGCTCTCCCCAGATTTGAACCTCTGGCCTGTCGGTCTTCAGTCCTGCCAGTACAAGAGTTTAACCCATTGCACCACTGGGGGTTCCTCATTATTATTATTAGTATTATTTTATTTATTTATGTATTTACATAAATTCAGAATCTGGAGGATTTGGGGAGTTGTAGTCCGTAGAGTATTTCCAGCCTCTGGGCTTTGGGCCTTGAATTGAGTAGAGAAGAGGCACGAAAGGCGAGGGAGATGTCCATCTGAACTTCTCCTTTTGTCCCATCCCAGATTATATCCCTTACGTCAGCACCGTCGATTCGAGGTGGAGTTCCTACACGTCGGATTCCTCTCCGTCGGCATCTTTTCTAGAACGGTAGGTAGGCAAGCAGCATCCTGGCTGATCGATCTCTTTAATGGGCCTCTGGAGGGGAGGAGGGTTGGAAGCAAGGGCGGAAGGAGAGAACCTTCTCGTTTCAATATTCCCTCAAGCAGTGGTTCCCAACCTGTGCTCCATGGACCACCCGTGGTCCGCGAGAACTAAACTAGTGGTAATACAACTCCCTGGAAGCCATTGCACTGAACCAGGGCAGTTCAGTCTCATAGTGTCCATGCAACCTGTGTTTTCGAAGCAAAAAAGTATCTTGGCTTGCCATGGCTGACTATTAGAGCGAAGCCAACAGCAGCTCCACAACAGGAAAGGCAGGAAGGGGAAAGATTGCGCACTGGGATTGTGGCGCAGCTGGCTGAGTGTCAGCTGCATTAAGATCACTCTGACCAAAAGGTCATGAGTTTGAAGCCAGCCCGGGTTGGAGTGGGTTTCCCACTAATTGTGTAGCCTGTTGTCAACCTTTGCAACCTGAAAGACAGTTGCATCTGTTAAGTAGGAAAATAAGGTACCACCTTAAAGTGTGGGGAGGCTAAATTAACTCATTTATGAGGCCATAAAAAGATTCCAGCATGCGGGGAATGCGGAAGTGCTTCATCAGTGTCGCAGATGGACGATGAAAGCGACAGCTCCCCTGGCGGCCAGAAAAAGTTAAATAGCCTCTGTGTGTGTCTGTATACGTTGTATGTCAAAATTGGCATTGAATCCCTCTGAGGAAGCTTGCCATAGATGCAGGCGAAACGTCAGGAGAAATGCCTCTGGAACATGGCCATATAGCCCGAAAAAACCCACAAGAACTGAGTGATTCCGGCCATGAAAGCCTTCGACAATACATTGGCATTGAATGTTTGCCATATATGTGTACACTGTAATCCGCCCTGAGTCCCCTGTGGGGTGAGGAGAAGGGTGGAATATAAAAGCTGTACATAATAATAATAATAATAATAATAATAATAATAATAATAATAATAATAATAATAATGAGAAGAAAGGAGAAGGAGGATGAGGAGCCTTTTGCGCGGAGCCTACTTCTTCCTGCCTGCACATCCTCTGTTCCTCCTCCTTAATTCAATTCCTTCCTATCATCCTTCCTTCTTTTCTTCCCACCCTCCCCTCCTTCCTTTCTTCCCTCCCTCCCTCTCTCCCTTCTTTCTTCCCTCCTCTTTTCTTCCTTCCTTCCTTGCTATTTTCCTTCTTTCCTTCCTCCTTCTCTCCTCCTCTCTCTCCCTCCTTCCATCCCTTAGGACCATCCCTTTCTCTTCCTTCCTTCCTTCCTTGCTCTCTCCCTGCTTCCCTCCTTCCTTCTTTTCTCCTTTCTTCTTTCCTTCCTTCCTCATTTCCTTCCTCCTCCCCCTCTCTCACTCCTTCAGTCTCATAATAATAATAACAACAATAATACACTTATATTGTCGAAGGCTTTCATGGGCGGAATCACTGGGTTGTTGTAGGTTTTTCCGGGCTATATGGCCATGGTCTAGAAGCATTATCTCCTGATGTTTCGCCTGCATCTATGGCAAGCATCCTCAGAGGTAGTGAGGTCTGGCGGTATATAAATATAGTAAATAAATAAATTTTGTTCAGAATATAAGAACCTGACAATTCTGCCCATGGATATAGGGTCACACTACAATAAATCTTGTAGGATTTGGGGTTCTCTCCCTTGCGCAAGGAGTGACTCTTTCAATCCTTCCTCCCTTTCCAGGGACCGGTTCATTGTTACAGACGTCTCTGCCCCAAGGAAGCCTTCGAATGCGGGAGAGCTCAGCCTCGAGCTGCAGCAGGTAGGACTTTGCGGCACGGAAGAGCTTCACTCCATCTTGGTCCTGCGTGGCTTGGCAACTTCATTGCGGGGATGTGGTGTTGCTCCCAGCACAAGTTGTATGTGTCAAAACATACTGTGTGGTGGCTTACTTTAGCAAAAATGATTGGGGATTTAGGGGGGGAGCAGGCATGTAGCCGGGGGGGGGGGGGCTTTGGGGGCTTCAGCCCCCCTGAAATTCTCATGGTGGTCTGCAAAAAGTACATTATTTAACTGTTATGTTTATTCGTATCATGATCTGATCACCATACTCAATATATCCCATATGCATTGGGGGTATTGGGGTAACGATACAAAAGGTTTGCTACAGTAGACCCTCTTTCACTCAGACTCACCCCCCCCCCAATCAAACTCACCCCCCCCCCAATCAAAATCCTGGCTATGGGCCTGGGGGGAGTTTTGGGGTAATGGGGACCAGAGCTCTGTGTTTTTATGGTGGGTTTGTGAGTTTGAGAAGCATACTTGGCCTGGGGGAAAAAAACTTATCTCTCTATATAAAAGTCATAGTATATATATGTATGTTTATTGGTTGGTGGGTGTCTGTCTGTTTTGCCATGGCTTGATGGATCTGGACCAAATTAGTCCCATGTACTGTTCATCCTCCAGCTTGAAAGAATTGGGTGATTTGAACTAAAGAAACACCCTTTTCAGGAGAGAACAGAGGGAAAGAAAAAAAAAGATGCTGATTGGCTGTGGCCAGGTAAAAGTTTGGCTGTCACTAGGTAGAGTGGCCCCCTGTGATGTCACTAAGAAAGAAAGGGAATGAAGCAGTTTGGCTGCTGCTCAATGATACACACATACATATATATATGGAATATATATATGGAATGTGTCCAGAGGAGAGCAACTAAAATGATAAAGGGTCTGGAGAACAAGCCCTATGAGGAGCGGCTTAAGGAGCTGGGCATGTTTAGCCTGAAGAAGAGAAGGCTGAGAGGGGATATGATAGCCATGTATAAATATGTGAGAGGAAGCCACAGGGAGGAGGATGCAAGCTTGTTTTCTGCTTCCCTGGAGACTAGGACGCAGAACAATGGCTTCAAACTACAAGAAAGGAGATTCCATCTGAACACGAGGAAGAACTTCCTGACTGTGAGAGCCGTTCAGCAGTGGAACTCTCTGCCCAGGAGTGTGGTGGAGGCTCCTTCTTTGGAAGCTTTTAAACAGAGGCTGGATGGCCATCTGTCAGGGGTGATTTGAATGCAATATTCCTCCTTCTTGGCAGAATGGGGTTGGACTGGATGGCCCAGGAGGTCTCTTCCAACTCTAGGATTCTAGGATTCTATGATTCTATATGAGAGAGAGAGAGAGGAAAGAAGGAAGGCAAGGAAGGAAGGGGCAAAGTATGCGGTGAGGGAAGGGAAGAGAGAAAGAAGGGAAGGGAAGAGAGAAAGAGAAGGAAAAGGAAGGAAGAGCAAAAAAAGGGAAGGAGAGAGAAGAAAAAAGGAGAAAAGAGAAAGGAAGGGAAGGAAGAAGTAAAGAAAGAAAGACTCCTGACGCTGTCCCAACCCTTTGCTTCTCTTTCTGCTCTTCCTCGCAGGCCAAAAGCAACTCCTTGCTGCTTCAGAGAGAAGCCAACGCCTTGGCCACGCAGCAGAAGTGGAGCTCCTTGAACGAAGGCACCCACCTCACCCTCAACCTTCTGAGCAAGGACATCGACCTGCGGAATGGAGAGGTAAATTGGGGGGGGGGGGACAATTTTTTATTGGTCCTAAAGCCTGTGCCATTTCTGCTCTTCCAGTCATGTATTGATTTAGAGATATATGTTATTATTTATGAACACATTTCCTTGCTTCGTTTCCCTCGTGCACTTTATCCTCTTTTTTTCTTTCCTTCCTTCCTTCCTCTTCCTTTTCTTAATTTTTTTTCTTTCGTAGCCTCCTTCTCCTCTTTCTTCCTTTCCTTTCTCTTCCATTCTTTCTTTGTTCCTTTCTCTTAATTTTTTTCCTTCTCTCTCTTCCCTTCCTTTTCCATTCTTTTTCTCCTTTCTTTCCGTCATACCTTTCCGTCATACCACTTTCCTTCCTTCCCTTTTTCTTTCTCCCCCTTCCTTCTCTTCCCTTTCTCTTTCTTCTCTTTTTTGCATTCTTTCTTTTCTTTCTTCCTTCTCCTTCCTCCCTTCTCCCCCACTTTTACTATCTTCCCTTCTCCCTTTGTTTCCCTTCTTTTTTTGTTCCTTCTCTCTGTCTTTCCTTCCTTCTTCCCTAGCAGCAGCCAAACTGCTTTACTCTTTTTCCCAGTGACACACCGTAGAGGGCAATTTCACTGAGGAACAACGAACCTTTGGATTCAGTCATTTGAAGAATTTCTGTGCCACGCTTGGTCCAGATCCATCAAGCCATGGAGGAACCTTTGTGGAACAAGCAATCAAACATGGACACCTATATGCTTATTTATTTATTGACTTTACTGTTCTCAGCCCTTAGGCGACTCACAGCGGTTAACAACAAGAACAGCAGAAATTCAATGCTACCACAACACAGTATAAAAAACAGTTAACATTATAACGCATTATAACAATTAACAGCAATATACAATTAACACCAATAGCCATTCGCTAGCGTCTCATCACTAAAAACATGATCCAGATCCGTCATCCATTGTTCCATTCCTATGTTCATTACATTCATTGCACTGACTATTTGAACGCCTGCTCAAACAACCAGGTTTTCACTTTTTTGCGGAATACCATTAATGATGGAGCTAGTCTAATGTCCGTGGGAAGGGCGTTCCACAGCCGCGGGGCCACCACCGAGAAGGCCCTATCTCTCGTCCCCGCCAGCCGTGCCTGGGAAGCAGGCGGGATCGAGAGCAGGGCCTCCCCGGAAGATCTCAAACTCCTGGTGGGTTCATAGGCAGAGATGCAGTTGGATAGGTAGCTTGGGCCGGAACCGTTTAGGGCTTTAAAGGCCAACGCCAGCACTTTGAATTGAGCCCAGTAGCAGATCGGTAGCCAGTGGAGTTGGCGCAGCAAGGGGGTTGTATGCTCCCTGCGCTCCGCTCCCGTTAGAATCATGGCTGCCGAGCATTGGACTAGTTGAAGCTTCCGAGCCGTCTTCAAAGGCAACTCCACGTAGAGAGCGGTGCAGTAGTCTAAACAGGATGTAACCAGAGTGTGGACTACCGTGGCCAAGTCAGACTTCCCAAGGTACGGGCGCAGCTGGCACACAAGCTTTAGCTGTGCAAATGCTCCCCTGGTCACCGCCGAAACCTGGGGTTCCAGGCTCAGCGATGAGTCCAGGGTCACACCCAAGCTGCAAACCTGCGTCTTCAGGGGGAGTGCGGCCCCATCCAACACAGGCTGTAACCCTATGCCCTGTTCGGCCTTGCGACTGACCAGGAGGACCTCTGTCTTGTCTGGATTCAATTTCAATTTGTTTGCCCTCATCCAGACAGTCACAGCGGCCAAGCACCAGTTCAGGACCTCGACAGCCTCCTTAGTATATGCTTAGACATGACTATATGATATTTCTCCTTTCCTGCCTTGCAGGTGGACTATCCCGAGGATGGTGCGGACACAAAGCCGGACCGAGACATTGAACTGGAACTTTCAGCCCTGGACGCCGATGAACCCGACGGCCAGGGAGAGCAGATTGAAGTAGGAACGCACAACTGCACTTTGGTTTGTCTTGTGGGCAAGAGGGAGGGTTTGTGTGTACCAGCCGGGGAAGCCCACCGGGCAGGATAGGAGTCCCAAATGCGCACCCAGCCTTTAGTTCGCCAGCAGCTGATCCTCAATCACAGCCAGCGGGACTCTGACTTCTGCCCGTCCTCTTTCAGGAGATTCTCGGCCTGCAGCTGGGGATCGGCAACCGAGAAGGCCCTCTGTTCAACGGCTCTGCTCTGGAGAACGGCCACGCGCTGGAGCAGACGGAGGCCCGGCCGCCAGCGCAGCCCAGCTTAGGTGAAAATCTTGCTGCTCTGTGAGTGTTGGACCACAAAGGCAGCCTCGGCTCCTCCTTTGACAGCCCTGCCCTGCCCTTTCCTCTCGGGTCCCTTGGAAACCCCCAGCTGGGGCTGAGGGGCTTGTGTCTCCCCCCTCTTCCCTCCCTCCCTCCCTCCCTCCCTTCCTTTGGGGTGCTTCTCACACGGGGCCGGCTTGGGCATGGCAAGTCTTCTGAAAGAGCCCGCCAGCATTATATGACCCCCTCATACCCTGGTAGTGTGGGCATCCCTTTCCACTTGACACAGCATTCATCTGCTATTTTATTTATTTATTTATTTATTTATCGTGTCATCAGCAGCCATACCATTGTGTTACAATTCTAACAGAACAAAACAAACACACAGATTAAAAAGAAAAAGAAAGAAAAAACACACAGAGTTTGCAAACTTGGTAGTTGGTTAAATGTCCTTTGACCAGTATCTGGCCACTTGGAGTGCCTCTGGTGTTGCCGCAAGGAGGTCCTCCCTTGTGCATCATGTGGCAGGGCTCAGGGTGCATTGCAGCAGGTGGTCAGTGGTGTGCTCTTCTCCCCACTCGCATGTCGTGGACTCCACCCTGTAGCCCCATTTCTTAAGATTGGCTCTGCATCTCGTGGTGCCAGAGTGGAGTCTGTTCAGCGTCTTCCAAGTCGCCCAGTCTTCTGTGTGCCCACGAGGGAGTCTCTCATTGGGTATCACCCATGGATTGAGGTGCTGGGTTTGGGCCTGCCACTTTTGGACTCTCGCTTGCTGGGGTGTTCCAGCGAGTGTCTCTGTAGATCTAAGAAAACTATGTCTTGATTTAAGTCGTTGACGTGCTGGCTGATACCCAAACAGGGGATGAGCTGGAGAGGTCTCTGCCTTGGTCCTTTCACTATTGGCTGCTACTTCCCGGCGGATGTCAGGTGGTGCAATACCGGCTAAGCAGTGTAATTTCTCCAATGGTGTAGGGCGCAGACACCCCGTGATAATGCAGCATGTCTCATTAAGAGCCACATCCACTGTTTTAGTGGTGAGATGTGTTCCACACTGGGCATGCATACTCAGCAGCAGAGTAGCATAGCGCAAGGGCAGATGTCTTCACTGTGTCTGGTTGTGATCCCCAGGTTGTGCCAGTATGCTGAAGAGTTCCATATAATAATAATTATTATTATTATTATTATTATTATTATTATTATTATTATTTATCCCCTGCCACCATTATTTATTTATTATTTATTAACTTTATTCGTACCCCGCTAACATCTCCCGAAGGACTCGATGCAGCTTACACAGGCCAAGGCCTCAATAAAACAACAGCATAACAAATACATAATAAAACCCATAAACAAACCAAAAAACATTAAAGCAATAACAGTAAAAACAATAAAACAATACACCGTAACACATTTAAAAACTAGCCAATGGGGACCCGGAGCGGCTTACATGGGGCCAAGCCCAAACAGCGTATTACATCAAAATAAAACCAAAACATAGACAACAAGCAAAACATAGTCAACAAGCAATGGGATTACATGAAGAGTTCCATGTAATCCCATTCCTGGGACCACATGTGTCAAATGCAAGGGCCACAGGACAACATGCCATTTTATGTGTGTCTCCTCCAAATGCTGGACTACAACTCCCGTCTACTTAATCAATTAGACATCATGACTAGAGCGGATGGGAGTTAGGATACAGTCACATCTGGAAGACTGCAGTGTGTTTCGTTTATGCATTTATTTATTGACAGTATTTCTATTCCGCCCTTCTTATTTATCATTTATTTATTGACAGTATTTCTATTTCGCCCTTCTCACTCCGCAGGGGGCTCAGGGTGGATTACAATACACATATACATGGCAAACATTCAGTGCCATAGACACACAACATATGTAGACACACACAGGCTATTTAACTTTCCAGGTTTCATGAGGGTATTCTGGCCACCAGGAGAGGTGTTGCTTCACTGTCCATTTGCGACACTGATGGAGTACTTCCTCATTCTTTGAACGCTTGCTGGATATTTTTTTTGAATTTTATTTTTATTTTATTTAAGTAAACATACATTTGCAAGTGTTTGTTGCATATAGTGCAATACTTTTTATCTATTAATGTTCTATAATCATTTATCTGATAATATATTTCTATTAAGGGGTCACAGTCTACTATCTAAATAATACATAAAAAGATATCATAGATTCTTACTTTACATCCACTTCTTCCTTGTCTACAGTCTTATAGGATCCTCTATATACATTTTTAATTTAACTTTACATTAAGGTGTTGAATCATTGGTTGCCATTCATTAACGAAGTTGTCTAATATTTTTCCTCTTAATAATACAGTTATTTTGTCCATTATCAACATATCTATAATATATTTTTCCCATTCTTCTAAAGGAGGTATATCTGGGGTTTTCCAATATCTAGCATATACTATTCTAGCTGCCACTGTTGTGTAAAACAAAATTTTTCCAAATTTTCTTTCTAATTCTTGCTGGAGATTTTTATGGCCTCGTAAATTAGTTAAATTAGCCTCCCCACATAAGCAGTACCTAAATTTCCTACTTGACAGATGCAACTGTCTTTCGGGCTGCAAAGGCCAACAGCAAGCTACACAAATTGGTTGGAACCTCATTCCGATCCAGGCTGGCTTCGAACTCATGATCTTTCTGTCAGTAGTGATCTTAATGCAGCTTACTCCCAGCCAGCTGCGCCACAGTCATCCCAAAGCGGACTCAGGATGGATCACAGAACATATAGATGGCAAACAATCTGTGCTGTTATACACGGACAAGAGAGACAACTGTACATAGATAGAGGTATAGCTAGGCTTTTCCCATCTCCAGCATCTTGGAGGTTGTCCTCGGTTCCAGCCACGACGTATGCTGCCGCTCCACTTTGCCTGCCGAAGAGCTTTGCTCGTAAACTTCCTCCTTGGTTGAAGTGCCGGCATTTTGGACTTCAGCTCCAGTCCTTCCGGACCCACATGCATCCTATAGATTCATTCATACTCTCATTCATCCCGCACTAGTGTTGTTTAGCTCCTATTATCTTGTTGCTGATCTGTGAGTGGGATTTCTCCCCACTCCCCCTGACTTTTGGGCTTTTTCCCCCCAAACCAGGGAGAAGCGGACAATAGCCTTGCCGGCAGCGACGTCCTGTTTCGTCCATCCTGCAGCCTCTTCCTCCTCTTCGTCCTCCTCGGTGGGCGGCACGAACACCGGCGTGGGGGGCCTGCTGCTTCTCAAGACGGCCCACGCCCCGGAAGAAGGGGGCAGAGACTTTTTAAGGCCAGTTGCAAATGGCAAGATGGTGAACAGCTGAGAAGTGTTCTGCTTCCAGAAGGAAGGAAGCAGTTGCACTTGCTTTTTAAAATACACACATATATGTATATATCTATATCTGAGATATAGATATATATGATATATACCTATTACATAATGTATATTTTTGGAAGAAAATAGCATTTGGGATCGTTCTGTTTCCTGTGAACTCTTTGGTGACAAATCAGGGCCTTGTCGCATTCGGAAAAAGTAACAGGGGTTCGCTGTTCACAAGCGATGGGGAATCTGGACGTGGTTTTTCCTGAACCGGCGCCCGGTTGTTTTCCGGGGATCCGTCTTGAGCCATACTTGGCACCTCTCGGAAAATGTGCAAGCGACTCGTTGTGAATTCAGCAGATCCTCAGGCAGATGTTGTGATGTGACTGATGGGACGCAAAAGGAACACGTTGGGCCTGGTTTCTTTTGGTTTGATGAGAGAGGGTTGCGGTTGCGTGCTTTTTCCCCACTGTGGGACTGAGTTAGTGAGAGAGAGAGAGGTTGGGGATCTTCTTGGCATGAAGGCGCCGAATTCAGGGTTGATAACACTTTCTTTCTTTCTGCTTCACCCCGTTGCATTGTACGCAGCGGCGTGCCACTCTGCGCCTCCCTTTCGCCCCCCCCCCCGCCTCAGTTTCCCCCCTTTGATCTTTCCGTAGATCGAGTGGTTTGCCTACGTATGAATGACAGATCGCAAATCCAAGTGCCTGCATTCTTCTGCTTACTCGGTCTTTGGACCTTCTCACATTGGGATATACTCTGTTTACATCAGTCTGCATCCTGTATTTTTTTTAGGACTGGATGCATACTAACCCCATCTGTATTCAGACGGGATGCATATTGACCCCATCTCACTCGGTTCTTACATTTAGGAAAGACTGAGCTTTGACTCATCACGCCACGGACAGCTGGTTCCTCTCAATCCATTCAAACGCTTGCCTTCGTCACTTCTTAAATTATTTTTAATTTTCTAATACTGTGCGGTAACGCAGCCTGGAAGTCTCTTAACTAATAATAATAATAATAATAATAATAATAATAATAATAATCTTTATTTATATTCACCTCTATCTTCCCAAGGGGACTCAGAACACATTACAGAGTGCATATATGGCCGTGATGGTGAACCTATGACATGCGTGTCAGCACTGACACACATGGCTATTTTTGATGACGCACGGCCACATGCGGCCGCATACAGAGAAGTACACTGTATAAGAGCCAATCTAATTCCATCCTTAAATTCGTAAAAGGCTCTACAAATTTAACATCTGCACACTTGAGACTTGTTCACTCCATAACTCAGCATGGAATATACATTTTTCTTATTTAAACTATAAATATTGCAAAATTATGGTTTTTTTCCTCAAAGTTGACACCCCACCCAAGTTATGCTCAGGTTTTTGGCAAATTTTGACACACCAAGCTCAAAGGGTTGCCCATCACTGATATATGGTAAACTTTTAATGCTGTTACACAATCGACATAGACAGACCGTACATAAACAAAGGCAAGGCTTCCCTCCTTCCATCTCCGGCCTCTGGCTGTGCTTGACTTGGCCATGGAGAGGTGGTGTTGTTTCATTTTCCACGCCAAGCTGCCTATCATCCATGGACTCTTTTCCTGGTCAGATTTTTGCCGGCATGTTTTTTTAGGGCGCCTTTTACCTCCCCGCTAAAGCGGTACCTATTTATCTACTTACATTGTTGTTTTCGAACTGCTAGGTGAGCAGGAGCTGGGCTGACGGTGGGGGCTCACCCCGACCTGGGCTTGAACTGCCAGCCTTCCGGTCGGCAGGATCTTCTATAGCAGGCGGTTTAGCCTGGCCCACCATTCTTGCAAGGTTTTAGCTGCCAGGATGTATACTGGCTTCAAGATCATGTGTAAAAACAACACTTCAGAACCGCATTAAATCAAGAAAACACAATTAAAATCTCATGTGCAGGTACTCTGACGTTTCTGCAACGGATAACTGATGAAAGGGGTAAACATCATAGGGACGCGTTTGGAATCGCGTTCGAAGAGTGTCAGGGACGGAGTGTATCCCAATGTAAGACGGTCCTTTGACCGCTCTTTGAAAAGCACTACGTTTCATTCATTCTGTCAATGCACTGATAGGACTCCCTCATTTCGCTCGCGTTCCCCCCGCCCCCACCTTGCAAAATTTTTTGTCGTGTTTACACTGATGAAAACAACACAGTATTGCTGTTGCTGTACTTTTTCAAATAATAATAATAATAATTCTAGGTTAGCGGTCCTTTAGACACTCGTCGTGACGTAGTGTTGGTGATAGCATTACCAGACTCTTTTAGCATTTTAGGTTTTGTTACTAATTCATTCTGTGAAGGCTTTGAATGCTTACTAACAATACAGCCGTAGCTTTAGAACAAAGGATCAGTAGGTCCTCTTGAAGACACATTGTGAAACACTTGCCACACAATAACCATCAGAGAAAATAGGAACATCTTGGTAAGCTATTACTGCAGCCATACTTTCTGCTCCCTTTCCCTTTAGGCCAGGCATGGGCAAACTTTGGCCCTCTGGGTGTTTTGGACTCCAACTCCCACAATGTGGGTATGCAGGTGATCCCTTGATTGACTAAAGAGTCCCATTTCCAAGAGGACAAAGGCATGGGCCAGCTTTGGCCCTCCTTCCAGGTGTTTTGGACTCCAACTCCCACAACGTGGGTATGCAGATGATCCCTTGAATGACTGAAGTGTCCAGTTCCAAGAGGACAAAGGCATGGGCCAACTTGGGCCCTCCCTCTAGGTGTTTTGGACTCTAACTCCCACAACGTGGGTATGCAGATGATCCCTTGATTGACTAAAGAGTCCATTTCCAAGAGGACAAAGGCATGGTCCAACTTGGGCCCTCCCTCCAGGGGTTTTGGACTTCAACTCCTACAATGTGGATATGCAGATGATCCCTTGACTGACTGAAGTGTCCAGTTCCAAGCAGCTTAAGTGTCTGAGAGGGAAAAGGAAAGGGCCTGAGGTTTTGTCCTCTTGGAACTGGACATTTCAGTCAATCAAGGGATCATCTGCATACCTACATTGTGGGAGCTGAAGTCCAAAATACCTGGAGGGAGGGCCCAAGTTGGCCCATGCCTTTGTCCTCTTGGATCTGGACATTTCAGTCAAGCAAGGGATCATCTGCATATCCACGTTACAGGAGTTGGAGTCCAAAATGGCCAGAGGGAAGGCCGAAGTTGACCCAAGGCTTTTTGTCCTCTTGAAATTGGATCCTTCAGTCAATCAAGAGTTCATCTGCATACCCATGTTGTGGGAGCTGGAGTCCAAAACACCTGGAGGGAGGGCTCAAGTTGGACCATGCCTCTGTCCTCTTGGGACCAGGCACTAAAGCCAATCAAGGGATCATCTGCATACCTATGTTGTGGGGGTTGAAGTCCAGAACACCTGGCCTATGTGTCCTTTATGCGAATCTTGAAAGTAGAAGAGTAAGAAGAATTTTTCTATTTTCTATCCCGGTTATTTGATCCGCTTTTGTTCTCTCCGGCATTTGATTTTGGGGTTTCCTTTTTTTCCCCCTTATTTATGTTTCTCTCTCCGCTTTTATTTCATTTTGTAATGTTTGTTGATTAACTTCTGTGAAGTTGTTTACTCTGGAAATCGTACTGGAATATTTTAGCCAAAGCGGCCATTTTTCTTCACCAGGGTTGCACTGTACGCAAGGGCTCCTCCTGCGATTGCAAAAGGCGAAATATCAAAAGGTGGCCGTGTTCCTGGCCAAGGGTTGCCGTTCTTTGTGCGGGATCGAGCGCACAACTTCTAGGAAATGACGGGAACGGCATCTCTCTGAGGATTACCGATCTTTGGTTGTCGTTTTGCAAACCTCTCGCCTGTCTCGACAGGCAAATTATGTTGTAAATATTGACTCCCAGGGCTAGTTCCATTAATGTTGTGCAAAGCGTCGTCCACGTGTTTAATAATAACGAAAGCGCTCTTTGTAATATATAACACAGCAGCCAAATCTCTTTTCGTCTTAGTGCTTTTTGCTGCCTCGTTTTTGCAGTGAGACGAAGCCATTGGGGGAAAAAATCCAGATTTTGACGGAAGGATCTCTTCACTTTTCACGCGCGACAGTTGGCATCAATGCGGAACGTTCGCTGTCACGCCGCCGCTCTTCTGTACATAGGAATTTGTATCCTCCCTTTGAAATGCTCCCAATTCTTTTTCTTTTGCGGTACGTGCAACTTCGGATATAGATACTAGATATAGCTCACCAGAAACGTAGCTGTATATGCAACTCTCTCGTACATGGAATAATTTAAACAGTACGATCTTCCATGTTGAAGGTGATATATATTTTTTTCTAAAAAGGAAGAAATCTTAATTGCTATTTTGTTACAAAAATAGAACCGTGTAAAGCTTTCGAGAGATCCGTATCCGCGCCTTCAGGGAAACCGGAGCGCCACCGGGCCTCCTCTTCAGCACAATCTGAGGGCAAATATTTACGAGCCGAACAAATCTGGTGCGTTTTACCTTTTTTAAATGTCTAAGTTATAAGATACACACACATATATATATATATATGCGACCCTCCCGATCCTTTTATGGCGGAAGGGGTTTGGGATGAATTGTTTACAGATCCACCAGTCGTGTTCAGAGACCCGCTCTCGCTTTCCTCTCACCAGCTCTGTTTACATTGCTTTGGCGCTGGCAGGGAGCGATCTGGCAGGGCTGCCGTTTCCGTAACCCAAAAGAGCCCCCGATCCCTTTGTCCGGAAGCGCAGCTTTTCGTAACGGAACCGCTGCCGACCCAAGCGACCTGCCAAACGCGAAACCCTGTGCCATCTCGCGCTGAGCTTTGGCCACCGAACTGTGGTCTTGCCAATGCAACAAAGCAACCCCGTTTGGCCACCGGCTCCGGCCGCAGGGCAGATAATCAGTTTCTCTTCAGGCAGCTAGCGGGATCGGCACTGGGCCAGAGCCGTATCATAGCCTGTTTTAGGGCTCTGCCTTTCGGAAACCAGAAGAGGAAGCGGGCCTTGGCCGAATGCAGGCAAAGAGGTCTCCTCTCGTCCTTTAGTTGCATTTTAGTGGCACCTGGGAGTGTTTGGTTCTGTGACAGGTGTGTTCTTCTGCTTTCCCTTTTCCCTTTGGCTTCAAACTACAACAAAGGAGATTCCATCTGA